AGTCTGCAGGAAGCTTGAAAGCCCTCTAACCTGTGGAACTGCGGTGTCACATGCTCCGCGCTGCAGGAAAAGCTGGATTTTTCCGCCAGTTTAATTTCATAGGAATCAAGTACTCACGCTGGTTTTTCCGCATTTTTTTTTAAGTGTAGCACTTGTGTACAGGTCTGCTACACGCGCTTTCTCAAGGGTTACGGTTTACCAGCCTTTCAAATGCTTAAGTAAGGTCTTACAATCCCTTCAAGGGCTCCAAAACCAGTGGAAGGCAACAGGATAGGCGGAAACCGTGCAGTGTTGATTTGCAAATGAGGCTGCCCCTCTCCCGAATCGAAGAAGACATCTTCGCAAAGGGGTGCTTCATGGAAAAGGCTGTCAGCAGCGATTCCCGCTAAATGGTCAGCAACTTTGTTGCCAATGCGAGGGACATATGCACCTTAATGGAAGTGCATCAGCTTTTGCCACATTGCATCAAGTTTTCACACCAGGTTCTTCCTGTGGAGTCTCAAGGCTCCAGCGAAATGCTTAACAATGTGAATGCAGTCACCTTGAATGACAACTTCCTCAATTTGATTGCTAGCGGCAAGGAGCAATGCCTTGTCCAGCGTTGCGTCAGTGGCATATGTTTCCGCAAACATAGAGTCTGGGCAAGGCTGAAGCGGGATGGATATCGTGTCGAGAATTGCTGGGACAGGTCCAGGTGACCAAACGATACCACCCGCTCCACCAATATTTTCTTGCACATGGCAGCTGCCATCAAATTGGGCGACAAGGTGACAAGGTGTGTATCTTTGACAGGTTTTAATTCCACAATAAGTGGCGTGCTAGCAGGGATTGGCCTCAACGCAGTTACTTTTAGGTGCAGGTTGCCACAATGACACATTTTGGGCCAAAGAGCGACATTAGGAACACCTAGAGTCTGCTGATACATGGGAGCAAGCAGGTAGTGGGCATGTAAAGTCGCTAAGACATCTTCTATGTTAGCGTTCTTGGGAGAGATGGTAACACCTTGGGCACTAGCTTTAATTAAGGCAGAGAGAGAATGCTTAACCTCGATCGAAAGTCTTCTGACGTCAGGTGAACCGCAGCCATCACTGGCAACCGCGGACTGCAGGGCCCCGCTGGGTATGCCCGACAATCAAGGCTTTGCCTCAAGAGGAACACACCTACTTTCAATCGAAAAGCACACCTTCAATTCTGCAAGCAAAACAGCTCCACCTGTAACCTCGAAACTTAAAAACCTTTTTCAAACGCCTGAAACGGAAAAGCACAGCGTTCTTAAAACAAACCAGGTTTTGAAGGCGCCCATTGGACTGCTCCCAGCATCTCAAAATCGTGGTACAAATAAAGTTTCTGTTGCGTAGCATTGGAGTCAAAACTTTCTCTCAAACAAGCTGGAGCACGAAAACGCAACTTCTTTGCCATCACCACTGCTCCACGTGAAACAGGTGGGTCAGTGCAAAGGAAAAAAAGGTACAGGGACAGCGGGCAGTCCGACTTCAGTCCGGAATCTTTAACAATGAATCCAGGCGCACGATACAGTGACATCACTGCTTCTATCATGTGGGGAGGGACTCCCATAAATACCAAGGAGCATGGAGGCAAAGATCCTGTATGAGATATTAGTCAGGGAGATAGGGCGGCAGTTGGAAAGACTTCGGGTGTCTTTAGAATGGGCTTTTATGATTATAACCACTTCAAGAATCTGGGACCTCAGCAAGATAGGGGGCAAACTTGTACAGCTCATTAACCAGTCCATTTGGCCCTGGGGCTTTGTGCTTTTCAAGTTGCGTGGAGCGGTGTTGAGATTCTGCATTGTAAGGGGTGCCTGAATGGGGTCACAAACTGGTCGTAGCTGGGACAGGAGGATCTTGCTGTGAATACTAGAGCTTGTTGCCAAGTAATCCGCGCATGTAGCAGGCCGTCGAGTCTTGGATACGAGCTTATCCTGAAGATTGAAAAGGCCATCAGCTGCCCTGGGTTGAAAAGGAGCCCGGAGGCTGCGGGCATGTTTCCATTGATGAATATTAGAGCCATGAAAATCCTCCAGGAGAGCAGACGAATTGCTTCTTATCAGCCCTAGCAGTTTTTTCGATACGTTTCCTGGCTAGCTGAAGGGAGGCGATATCTGCAAAGGACGTCTGTTGAAACTGGTCAATAAAAGCAAGCGTACTACTGCTGATCAGGGCATTTTTGCAGCGAGGGGGACTTCGGGGATGAGTGGGAGAGGAAGTTTATATTGTAGTAAGCGTCGAGTCTTGTGCTGTGATTGTCTTGGTGGTCCAGTCTTCCATATTGAAACCTACTTCCGGGGGGGGAGAGCGAGGCTGCCGGAGAGGAGGAAAACCGACCAATACTGCATCTCGAGTATACTCCTTGCTTTGCAAGGCGGTCGGCTATCTCATTTCCTGGTATACATTGATGAGCTGGGGCACTTAATAAATCGATTCGAAAAGTAAGGCGCAGCGCCACATAGTGTTGTTGCGCAAGTACTACCAGCTGGGGATGAGAAGCTGGAAGGGAGCTTCCTAACAAAAGACTACGGGCATAGGAAGAATCTGTATAAATGGTAATAACAGAACCCGGGGGGTATTGTGAGTAGAAGAGCAAGTAATCAAATAGCTCGATAAGCGCCTTTCGTTCGCCTGTATTTGTTGGAACCTGGCAAAGGGCCTTCGTGCGACTGAGGCTGGTTCTTAACTGGGCCAAAGCCAAGAATCCACTGTGAAGAGGAGGGGGGGGTGCTTGGAGGGACCATCCGGCGCGAGGGTGGTCGCAAACTCCCAACCTGCGGGGTTCTCAAGAAGGGAAACCACTCTACTACTGGGGCAAGAGCCATCGGTGTAAGCGAGATAGTGGCTAGCTTGAGGTTGAGGGAGGGGGAAGAAATTTTGGGTTTCCGCTAGCAGCAGCTTTTCTACTGATTCTGTGAAATCAGCGAGACAAGAATAATCCTTCTTTGGTGGGTGGGGGATGTGCAAAGAGGGCGCGAAGTGTGTCTTAATATAGAACAACACCGGTAGATGTCTTGAGTTGATGAGTTGCTGAAACACGGAGCCCTCAAAGGCCACACTCTGTCGAAGAGAAGCCGGGACCGCGATGTAGTCCAAGGCCGTCCAATTTCGTACCTCTGTTCCTTGCAGCAGGTGATCATCACAAGTGAGCTCCTTGTAAGTACACGGTTTTTGAGAGGTAAAGTAGAAAACGTTTGGGGTAGTGTAAGGGAATGGGCTTGCAAGCTAGCGTAAAGGTATATAGCATTGTCGCGCGCTTCATCCTGAACAGACTGGCGAATCCCGATCACTTGCGGGCCAATACGCACCGAGTCTTCATCCAGTTGTGCGTCTAGTCTGGCGTTACAATCCCCAGCCAAGAAAAATAATGTATGTTAGAGCGCTCCACCAAGATCTGGTTCAGCTCCGTCCAAAAATGCTGTTTACGCTGACGATCTTCATCCGCATTGTTTACCTGGCTGGGAGCATAGATATTCAAGGTCGTAATTTGGTGTGGGAGAGCATTAAGGGTGATCTCACAGATCCTAGGCGAGCGTGGCTTGAACCCTGTGACATGTGGTCTAAGTTTAGGGGACACAAAGAACCCAACTCCATGGTGTTTAGATTGGGGGTGGCCTGACTGCAAGATTTCCCAACCATTTTTAACGAAGGTATGTGAGGACGAGCCTTGGTCTCCTGGGCTAGTAGGAGCTCAATATCTTGAGTTTTTGCAAAGCGCAAAATTTGATCGTACTTAGATACCTCATGTAATCCTTCTACGTTCCATGTGGCCATACGGATCGGCGTACGTAGAGAGACCTGAGAGGCCATATCTCTGATTTGATGAACCCTGTCTAGTAGAACGTGCTGCACAAGGTTTTAGCTGCTTTTGGAGGCACAATGTACTAGTCGGTTTCGGGTAAGCCGGGCGGGGGTAAAGGATGTGATCCACCGGATACCCGCTGGGTGGCATCCTTGCACTCACTCTTCCATAACCTATAGTCCCTCCTGCCTTGACGTCTATCCTCCACATACTTGTTCCATCTACGCTCTACTGCTGCTTCCGACCTAATACCTCTGAGGTTTTTTGGGCGGGCTTCGCGGTGTTGGCAGCCGCGTTGGCTTTCCGCGGGATTCAAATACCGATAGCGTGAGTGTTCTGTACGGTAAGTGGTGCTCCTCTTATCGTGCAGAAGGGAATCGTAATACTTGAAGAGCTGCCAGCGGCTTCCCGGCCCGCCTCCGCTGGAGGCCACCGCTCTCGTCGCCGTAGCCGTAAGGTGAGTGTTTTGTAACGTGAGTTTGGATATCCGCCAGTATCGGACAATATCCGCTTCCAACAAAGGAGGGCTTCATAATGCGAAGGAGCTTGCTGCAATAGGGACCTGAGGACCGCGCCATCTGCTGAACCTGGGACGCCTGGCAAAAGACCCACGGTGGTCTGTGCTGCAACATAGGGACCTGAGGAAGCATACTATGGCCTGGTTCCAGTCTTCGCTAGGTACCTGCAGATCTCGCATTGCAAGAGCAAAAGCGGTGTCTTTCCTGCTTCCCTGACATGAACCCAAACTTCCTAACTTGTTGGTGAAGCCTGCTTGCTGCTCTTGCCAGAGATTGGGCAGGCAGGGGATTTGACATGTCCTCCCAACGCGCTACAGTACCCTCAAAAAGGTCCCGGTTGATGGCCAGGAGGACACCCGCACTCCTGCGCTATGGCCAGCGGACAAGCTACAAATGCCACCAGAATCGGTGAATGGCGAAATTGACCCGAGGAACAGAGCGATGGTCTTTGCCGGGCGCGACGCATGGAGCGGCGGGGAAACCGCTTGAGAAGTAGCGCCCCTTCGGAGCGCCGCCGCAGGCGGCGGCCTTCGAGCGTCTTTGCAACGGAGTGGCGTCCCGCTCAGCTCACCGTGTCGCAGCTTGACGATCTAGCAAAATTCATGAAGCCAGCCTTGTTAGGGAAAGTTCGCTCCGCTTGACGATGATGCGCAGTTGCTGTGGGACAAGACTATGCAAGAAGTGAGCGAAGGCGTGCTGGAGGGTCCCCTCACAGAGCAGCAAGTCGAAGAGAGATATGGTGGGGCATGGATCCCAGTTCGTCGCTTTGGCGTGTGGCAATCGTCTTCAGGCAAGCAGAAGCTCCGACCAATTGATGATTATTCGGAAAACAAGGCTAATCTAGCTTTTGGTTACGCTGATAAGATTGCTCTGAGAGCTTTAGATCAGCTTGTTTGCTCGGTGAGGTTGTGGATGCAGCAAGTCCTTGCTGATGGCAAGGTGGCCATTGAGTTGTCGGATGGTTCGTGCCTGCGTGGGTCCATCCATCCGTGCTGGCGAGAAGAGGGACGGTTGCTCGAGCTCGCCGCATTGGACTTGCGTGCAGCTTACAAGCAGTTTCCACTGTCCCCGAAAAGCCGAGCTTTGTCCGTCTTAGTGTTGAAGAATCCAGTGTCGAAGGAGGTCGCTTGCTTCGAGGCTAAAGCTCTGCCATTCGGGGGCACAGCAAGCGTTGTGCACTTCAACAGAGCCGCAAGGCTGCTGTGGGCCATAGGCCAACACCTGCATGTGTGTTGGCTGAATTTCTTTGACGATTACCCAATCCTGACGCCTAGGGTATTGGCCGGTTCGACAAAGCAAACACTGAAAGCCCTTGTTGATCTGCTTGGCTTTGATTGCTCTTGGGAGAAGTGGCAGGACTTCTCTACTCGCGCCACAATGCTTGGGGTGGAAGTTGACCTTAGTGATGTTGCGTCGGTTGGCGTTAGGATTCGCAATAAGGAAGGCAGGGCCGGCCAAGTTGTCTCCACTGTTGAGGAGCTTCTGCGAAAAGAGAGCATGCCTGCTCGTGAACTTCTGAGTGTGATGGGACGAATCCAGTTTGCAGATGCCCAAGTTATGGGGCGGACGGGAAGGCTCGCGCTTGCCGAGATTCGTCGGTGGTCTAGAAACCATGTTGACCGTGTTACCGTAGGGCGTGAGTTGATGGAAGCCTTCGGGTCCTTACCGACCGGCTCTCAAGTGGGACGCCGCGCGTTGTGCCTTGTGAACTGCCGAAGCAGCCAGTGTTGGTTTTCACTGACGGGGCTAGTGAGGATGCGTTGCACACTGTAGGCGGGATCCTAATAAGGCCTGGGTGTGATGCGCGGTTCTTTGCTTGCCATGTGCCATCTGAGCTTGTGAAGGCTTGGGAGGGCTCGCTGAAGCACCTGATAGGGCCGGTTGAAACTTACGCCGCTCTTGTTGCGAGAGCCGTGTCGCGAGTGCTCGATATGGAACATCTCTCAAAAAAGAGGCTCCGAGGCAACTTGACGAAGGTGCGTCGGGGCAGGGTCCGAACTTTCCAGGGCATGAAAGGAATTGAACCCAGAGTTAGTTCCTGCAGGTGTATGCTGGAGAGCTTGGTCTTCAGAAGCGAACGGAAGGGTCTCAGACTACATAGAAGTGGCTGGACCACAGTGCGTAGACGGCCGGTGTTTTAAGCACATTTCATGCATTTTCTGGGTTAGGCGGGTGGGGGGTTGGGGGAGGTTGGATAATCAAGTCCATTCGTGCTTTGTACATGATGCTGCGCAAGGATGTTTGACGGTTTTAAGGTAAGATGCTCCCACAAGTGTTCTTGCCTTTTTGCAAACATACCTAAACACTGCTATTTACAGCGGCTGCCAACATATGGCATCGTTTTGGAGTCAGACGTGAGCGCTCATGCCTTTTGCGTGCATGCCCCAACATACTGGCAATGTCAGTGCTGATGCAAAGGTATCGCTCGTGGACTGTGCCTAAAGCACCATGGCCGTCTACGCACCATAGAGCTAGTAGTTTTGTAATGGTTAAACTCCTAAACCTGGGCCTGTTGCGTGGAGCTTGCATGGAGTCTGATGAACCCGGGTTGGGGTTGAGTGTTTAGTGTTATTTTGCACGGTCTAGGGTTGAATTTGCACGCACTCGTACTGGAAGCATGGACGTCATCATCGCACAGGCATGGATGCTGGACGGAGTCATGGTGAAAGGAACCACCTGCCAATCCCGGAAAATGACGACAACTGCTGGAAAACGAACGCTTTCCAACAACGGAGAATGACGAGAAGAGCTGGAAACTATACATGCTGACGAGCTTTGCCAGCTGATGCTCATGATGCTCGGGCTTTGCCCACGGGGCTGGCAAGCTCATGATGCAGGGGTGTTGCCGGCTGATGCTCATGATGCACAGGGCTTTGCCCTCTGATGCTCACGGGCTTCGTCAGCTGATGCTCATGATGTGCGTGCTTTGCCGGCTGATGCTCACAGGCAGCCAGGATAGCTATGTCAAGGGCACCTCGACGAGCGCTATCATTCGCTCCCTGTTAGTCTCCTATGAGAGGATTGAGTCGAACGGGGCTTCTTGGCCTTGGTTCGCCCGGGTACGACGGTATTGTCAAGGAGCTCGCGGCGAAGCGCGACGTGTGTCTATGTCCCATGACAGGCAGGGAACTTTGTGACATAACTTCTCAAATTCCTGAAGGTGTCGCGTGAGGTATATGTAAACTGGGGGAGCACGGCACTTCGTTGCGCCCCCATCAGAAAAGACGTTGCAGTCGCTCTGGAGTTTGAGTTCAAGGGTTTTGCTAAGCGGTCAAAAGATTCTTTGGAAACCGCAGGGTTCCTAGGATATTTTGATTAAGCGAGAGAGGCTGGAGCCGAGCGTGGCAAAACCTCTCTGTGCTACGCATGCGCACTCCTCTTTCTCTGTATGCAGTTGCTCAGCGAATGGGAGGGTGGTGGGAGCTGCTGCGCGGCAGCTGAGCTCAGAGTGAGCCCCGCCCGCCCGCCCTACAGTTCAGGAGTGCGCTGACCCGAGTGTCAGAACAGCCTAACCCTGCCGTCGAGCACGGCGCCTCGTTGCGCCCCCATCAGAAAAGACGTTGCAGTCGCTCTGGAGTTTGAGTTCAAGGGTTTTGCTAAGCGGTCAAAATTGACATGTCAGACTTTGATAATCCACGAGGTAGTTGCAACTCTAGACGGGGGGGGGGTAGAGTGAAGTGCATAGAGTGAAGTACACAGAGTCAAGTGCGTAGAGTCAAGTGCATAGAGTCAAGTGCATAGAGTGAAGTGCATAGAGTGAAGTGCCACAGAGAAGTGCTCGTGGGGCTCGAATTCCGGGATGTCGAAACCGTCGCAAATTTCGTGGGGCTCGAATTCCTCGAAAACCTCAAATATCGTGGGACTCGAATTCCGGGGCCTCGAAAACCTCGTATATATCGTGGGACTCGAATTCCGGGGCCTCGAAATCCTCGCAAATATCGTGCGACTCGAATTCCTCGAAAACCTCGCAAGTATCGTGGGGCTCGAATTCGTCCGGGGTTACGAAACCCTCGCAATTTTGTTGGGACTCGAATTGCGCAGGTGCGTGCCGCGACCAGCCACTGGAGCTCGGCGTTGTCTTCAATGCCGGTGAAGTGTATACAGTTGACCACAAGTGCATGGCGTTCAAGTCAACACACTTGAATGCTATGCAGTTCCAGTGCATAGCACGCGCAGTATACAAGTGCAGTATACAAGAGAATATGCAACCATATAAGTGCATACACTTCTGCAAGTGCATACAGTTCGACTGCAAAGAGTCAAGTGCATGGAGCCAACGCACGGCAAATCGATGCTTTCGGGCCATCCCTCTTCCAGCTTTTTGTTTGTTTCCTATTCGGCCTGCGTAGATCTTCTGTTTCACCCTGAGTTGCGAGTCCCACAAGCTGCTGCTGATGTAGTAAACGCCAAGTTAAGCCCCCCTTTAGCCCCCTCTTAAGCCTTTGAGCAAGGTGATGGGCATGAAACCCTCCACCTGGTCGTCTGATGAGAGCACTAAGTCCACTGAGCACCTTCTGTCCGTTCCTGTGGACAAGGGGTTTGTTCGTTTCCCTGTTGTGTGTGGGATGTGAAAAGTCCCGTCTTTCCGGTTGTTCTGCAGTTTTGTGCATGTTTTGTTGACGCGTGCTTGGTAGGCGCTGGTAGGAGTTGTGTAGGAGTTGTGTAAGAGTTGGTAGAGGAAGTTGGAAGCCTTTTGAAAGTGCTTGGTAGGTTGAAGTTTTTTTTGAGTTGGTAGGAAGCGAACCTGAGAAATTGTTTTTGTCGTTTTGCCTTGTTTCGCAGTGCTTGAAGAAGAGCTTTTGGCAAATTCCACCCCTCTCTTTTTTTTGCTTGAATTCACTAGTGGAAGGCAGAGTTCGAAAATCAGCTGAGCAAACAATCAGTGGCTTCACCCCCTCGTTTATTTTTTTTGTCACCCCCTCCTTTTTGTTTCATGCGAAAAGTAGAGAATAAGGAGAGAAACATCGATAAATAGAGAATTCATCTACACTGTTTTTTTCATTTGGAAAGTAAAGAATAAGAAGAAGTAGAGTCTGAATTCCACCCTTTCGTTTTTTTGTTGTGTTCATTGTTCGAAAGTCAGAGGTCTCTTCTGACAGAACCAAGAGTTGGAGGGGCGTATTGTGGGGTAGGAAGGGGAGGAAGGGGAGGAAGGAGATGGGGGGTAGGGGAGGCGGGCGGGAGTCAGAACCTGGGGCTGGGTTGGTTGTAGTTGTTCCCTCCTCCGTCCCACGGCCGGACCCTGGTTGTTTTGAACCTGCGTTCAAGCAGTCCTGGCCCGGACCATCGAAAAAATCCTCGAAGTTTTTGGGGCTCTGCTTGGCCCGCCCCCTGACTTTCGTCCGGCATTCCACACATGGCCGGTGTCAAAAGGCAATTTCAAAAAACGACGGGCACAAGCATCGGATGGGGAGGGTTGGGTTAGAATTTGAAAAGCACCAGATATTCGACTTGCTCTTATTTCAGCTTGATAATTGCATTTTGTTTAGTATTCCAATGCTTTTGTGATCTTACTTGTACTTGTAGCACTAGGTCAGGCGCAGGCTCGGTTTGGAGTGGGGGTGCGGGGGCAGGATGGTCTTGGTCCGGTTGAAAGGAGGGGCGAGGGTTGGGGGGTTGGGGCAGGTTGGGGTCGGTGGGGACATATACATATATAGCCTTCTGAAAGCCAACCTTTGGCTGGACACCTTGCAAATAATGAAGCGGCGACCTTCCCCCCTCCTTGAAACAAGAGAAGACGCAACAACGCACGTGGGCGAATGGCTGAAGCACCCGGCTTAAAACTGTGGTTCCAGGAGCTGGCGGCCCCGAAGGTCGCTTCGGGCTTTTTCTGCAGTTTGCCGTGTGTGGATGCCCTGGGCCTCAGGGTGTCCCTTTTTTTCACTCGAGCCCTCACAAGCTCCCAGGATCCAGATCATGTTGAACACGATGCATCGGCCATCGACCATGATGACCCACTCTGCTCTGTGTCCTGAGCTTTTTTTGCCTCCAAGAAGAAGGGGGGGGAAGTTGAAGTTCGTGTAAGGCTGGCTTTCAATGCCCGGTCACATGGTTGTAAGGCGGTCTTCAACATGTCATGAGATCCACTGGCTTCTGTTTCGCGCGTTTATGAATCCCGGCGCTCCTCAATGTCCTCCAAACCCTCAAGAAACCCTTCCGAACCTTTTCGGCCCCTGGTAGCATCCCGGGAGTTGCGCAGAAAGACCTTCCTCCAGCCCGTAGCTTCAAAGGCAGCCGCAGTGCCTGGCCGCTCAGATCGAGGCCCCTGGAGGCTGGAGGCGTGTTTTGCCCAGCAGGGGCCTGTCGGGGACTGGGAGCAGGCCCAGCCGGCTTGGAATACACGGACATGTCGTTTAAAAGCAAACGAAGCATGTCCAGGGCCAACATAGGTCCCGATGGTGCCATCATGTGCCATCCCCGCACCATGGACGCCAGCTTGACGCGCCATTCATGCATTGCCTCGTCGCCCTCTCGCGCTTTGAAAATTCGTGAGAACCCAATCACCATCCGAGATGTTTTTGGGACAAGAAGAGGGACAGGGTTGTGGGGTGCGTGCACGTTTCTTCCCAGTTGGAAGCACAATTCTCGCAGGACGGGTTTGGAAATTTTTCCTATGCCCCTATCCTTTTCATGCAAGCTGCAAGCTCTCTTTCAGTTTGGAAGGGATCCTATACTTTCCATGCCAGTTTTCTTCATGGCATGAAGTTAAAAAATCCGGGGCTTCCATTTTTTGTTATTGGTTCGCTCTATTTCTTATTTATTCCTGTATTTTGTTATTCCTTGTCGTCCCGTTCTTCCTCGATCCCCCCCTCCCCCAGGCCCATCTTTTTCGAGACCGAGAAAAATGGAGGTTTTCTTCGCAAAGTGTGTCTGCCGTAAAATGTTTTTGTTGCGTCTAAGTGCATGTCGGAGTTTTTGCTGAGCAGTTCGAAGACATTTTTGCAGACGATTGTAGGTTCCGTAAAGTTTTCAACAGGAGGAGGTTTCCCTTGCAAAGATTTCGGCGCAATCTCATAAAACGTTTCCTAGAGGTGCCGTCTTCACCGGAGCCAGAGAGACACGCCCTGTTGCTCTACGTTGCGAGGCCCTCAGGAGTGCATCACAAGCACAAGGCATGAGAAACATGAGCAGTGTTCTACGTTCCATGAACTGCGCATAGGGTGAGATTGCGACCGGCAGTTGTCACATCACTCGTGCGTTGGATGGTAAAGTGCCGAGGGTCTGGTCTGCATTGGCACTCAGGACCATGCAGGGGGGCATGATCGAACCCTAAACCCTAAACCCTAAACCCTAAACCCTAAGCCCTAAGCCCTAAGCCCTAAACCCTAAGCCCAAAGCCCTAAGCCCTAAGCCCTAAACCCGAAACCCTAAACCCTAAACCTTTAACTCTAAACCCTAAGGGGTCAAGTTTCGAGTCCTTCCTTGCTACGGTGTACAGCATGAAAGGGTGAATGGCAGTTGCCTTTGGGTTTCGTCAGTGTCCAGGGGAAGATGGACCAAGAGCATGCACCAACTCATGTGCTCGCACTTTGGTACAGGAAGTGAATCGTGCAAAGTCGCTCTTCCTCTGGCACAGGACTCAAATAGTTCAAGTGGTCACATCTACCGGCTCTGAATTCCCAACCGTGTACTTGGAATCCTTCCTTTGCTGCAGGTCGCTCTGGATTGATCAGGGTTTGTTTGGGCCGTAAGTGCGGACATAGACACTACACTGTCACTACACCATGGAGCGGACCTGGAGGAAAGCTTTCGATGGCAGGGGCGAACATTATAGAAACCTCTGCCCGGCAACGAGGGACCACCATGCGCCTGCAGATCCACCCTTGCTAGCAGGTGTGCTGTCCTTGCCCACTAGCAGATGTTGAGACTCCGAGATTTCGCCAAGTCCTCCCCAACAAGCTTTCCGTTCCACCCCTCAGACCCCAGGACTCGGTCTACCCGTCATTGGCGATGGCAAGCAGTACATCCCGCGGGTGTCTCAGCATAGCGTGACTCGCGGCCTCTCTTGTTCCAAGAGCTACGTGTGTTTGTGCTTATCCAGCTCCATCATGACATGTCATGCGGCTCTGACCAGGATGGTCCATGCTCGACATGTCGCTCGCCTGACGTGCCACATCATACAGGCACGAAGGCTGAGTCGACCTGACGTGAGCTTTCCGCTGTCGTTGTGACCTGTCTTTCGATCCAGGCTTTGTCCCAGTGCAATCTGATAATCTGTCTGCTCAGCTCTTGTCTAGACTGATCTCCGCTGTGGTGAGTGCCGGACCGGTTGTGAACAGCGAAGTTCTGCTCAGACCACAGCCACAGGTATAGCTCTTTTCCAGACTCATTTAGCATCAATATGGTGCTTCTCAGTCTGGCGCTGGCTTTGGGCTGGGCACGCGTTGGCCTTGCTGCTCTTGGTCCTGGCAGCTGTGCCTTCACTGCCATCAACGGACAAGGGCCGGACAGCTTCAGGCTTGTGCTCTTGGAGCCAATGGAGCCCGGTGAGACCATCAAAGTCACGTTTCGGATGGTCGATGACAGCGGAAATTGGGTCGGGTCAAGCAGCAGCAACGATTTGTCATACACCGCTAGCTCGTGCCAGTTGCCGGGCGTAACCCTTGCCGGAGTACAGGGGACGACTTCTGGCAATGCTTTTGCATGGGCGAATGGAGGTGAACAACTCTCAAATGGAGGCGACACATTGATTGCTGTGAGTGCAGACGACACCCCACTTTGCGCCGCGAGCACCGAAGCAGATACTTGGGGCTTTGTCAACGGGGCGCAGACTGCCTTGCCTGCTGGCCTCACAGCGAACTCTGCCGATGCCATCACAAAGGGACCTGTGGTCAGCATGTGCTATCAAGGCGTGACAAGTGGCACTCTGGCAGACGTGAAGGCGGCAATTGTTAATCTGGGCAGCAATTGGCTAGTCAATTTGGCAGGGAACTACGTTTCTTGCACTTCGCCTGCCACCAGCTTCACGCTGAGCGATGCAGCAACGCAGTGCCCCACGACGAGCACTACGACGACCACTACGACGACGACGACCACCACCACCACCACGACCACCACCACCACTACCACGACCACGACCACGACCACCACCACCACTACCACCACCACGACCACGACCACGACCACCACGACCACCACGACCACGACCACGACCACGACCACGACCACCACCACGACCACCACCACCACCACCACGACCACCACCACGACCACCACCACGACAGCAAGCGAGGAAAACGACATTGATGGCGCTTGGGCATCAACTGTCTCCTTGCTCACACTCTTGCAGGTGATTGTTGGGGCCGGAGGCTTCTGGAGTTGAGCGGGTGTTCCCTAAACGGGGATACTGTAGACGCTGAGACTCAGTTTTGGGGCCGGTCTTGTCAATGTCTTCCAGGCAGACCGTAAGATGTCTGGTGGGAAGCCTTTTGGCAGGATGTGGTCGGTGCGGGGATGAACCCTTGACGCACCCTGGTCCTTTTTCACCCTTTGTACCTCTATGCAAAAGAACTTTTCCCGCGGAGCATGGAGGCTGCGGTGAAACATCCCGCTTCCGTTGCCCCGGGCTTGAAACTGCGTAACGCACAGACAACCGTGAATCTCCCGAACGCGACGCAAAACGCCCTTGCCGTGATTTCGTGTTGCGCATGTCTGCAAAGATGACTGCTCTATCCTTTTGCTGTATAAACGCAAGGCCGACCTTGGCATATCGTAGCAGGCATGTTTCTTCATGTTGTATTAGACGTCGCCTGCATTCGGCATAGAGCATGCAGAGCGAAGTTGTGAGTTGCTCCAGCTTGCTTTTTTGCAGGGGGGGCTAGGATGTTGACGGCTTGAGCAGGTGGGGGCAGAGGCTGACTACGACCTGGCAGTGGACGGCAGCCCGACAGAACTCCGGAAGGCAAGGGACATCAAGGGATCCTGAAATATGGTCAAGGGTTGAGAGTTCCGGGTCCAGGGTTTTGCACCGCTGTGTACTTTTGCCCGACGCAGAACCTGGAAGTGCCATGTGTCATCCAGCAAGCATTCTCAAAGTGCAAAATCGCCATCCCGACTTCGCTGGCCTATGTGACTGCCATCACATCCGCCGCGACTCGTAGTCGCCGCGCCATGGGTGCGTGTGATCAAACATGCAGTGAATGCAGTGCCGTAGTTTGACATGTCATAGGGCTCTGACCAGGATGGTCCATGCTCGACATGTCGCTCGCCTGACGTGCCACATCATACAGGCACGAAGCTGAGTCGACCTGACGTGAGCTTTTCGCTGTCGTTGTGGCCTGTCTTTCGATCCAGGCTTTGTCCCAGTGCAATCTGATAATCTGTCTGCTCAGCTCTTGTCTAGACTGACCTCCTCTGTTGGCGAGTGCGTGACCGGTTGTGAACAGCGATTTTCTGCTCAGACCACAGCCACAGGTAGCTCTTGTCCAGACGCATTCAGCATCATATGATGCTTCTCAGTCTGGCGCTTGCTTTGGGCTTGGCACGCGTTGGCCTTGCTGCTCTTGGTCCTGGCAGCTGTGCATTCACTGCCATCAACGGACAAGGCCCAGACAGCTTCAGGCTTGTGCTCTTGGAGCCAATGGAGCCCGGTGAGACCATCAAAGTCACGTTTCGGATGGTCGATGACAGCGGAAATTGGGTCGGGTCAAGCAGCAGCAACGATTTGTCATACACCGCTAGCTCGTGCCAGTTGCCGGGTGTAACCCTTGCCGGAGTACAGGGGACGACTTCTGGCAATGCTTTTGCATGGGCGAATGGAGGTGAACAACTCTCAAATGGAGGCGACACATTGATTGCTGTGAGTGCAGACGACACCCCACTTTGCGCTGCGAGCACCGAAGCAGATACTTGGGGCTGGGTCAACGGGGCGCAGACTGCCTTGCCTGCTGGCCTCACGGCGAACTCTGCCGATGCCATCACAAAGGGACCTGTGGTCAGCATGTGCTATCAAGGCGTGACAAGTGGCACTCTGGCAGACGTGAAGGCGGCCATTGTTAATCTGGGCAGCAATTGGCTAGTCAATTCGCAAGGGAACTACGTTTCTTGCACTTCGCCTGCCACCAGCTTCACGCTGAGCGATGCAGCAACGCAGTGCCCCACGACGAGCACTACGACGACCACCACCACCACGACCACGACGACCACCACCACCACGACTACAACCTCCACCACCAGCACCACCACCACCACCACCACGACGACCACGACGAGCACCACCACGACCACCACCACCACCACCACCATCACCACCACCACCACCACCACCACGACCACCACCACCACGACCACCACCACGACCACCACCACGACCACCACCACGACCACAACCACGACAGCAAGCGAGGAAAACGACATTGATGGCGCTTGGGCCTCAACTGTCTCCTTGTTCACAGTCCTGATTGTTTTGGCCACAGGCTTCTGGAGTTGAGCGGGTGTTCCCTAAAGGGGGATACTGTAGACGCTTAGACTCAGTTTTGCAGCCGGTCTTGTCAGTGTATTCAGTGTCTTCCAGGCAGACCGTAAGATGTCTGGTGGGAAGCCTTTTGGCAGGCGGTGGTCGGTGCGGGGATGAACCCTTGACGCACCCTGATTCTTCTTCGCTCTTTGTACTCTCTATGCGAAGAACTTTTCCCGTGGAGCATGGAGGCTGTGGTGAAACATCCCGCTTCCTTTGCCCCGGGGCTTGAAACCGTGTGAATCTCCCGAACGCGACGCAAAACGCCCTTGCCGTGATTTCGTGTTGCGCATGTCTGCAAAGATGACTGCTCTATCCTTTTGCTGTATAAACGCCAGGCCGACCTTGGCATATCGTAGCAGGCAAGTTTCTTCATGTTGTATTAGACGTCGCCTGCATTCGGCATAGAGCATGCAGAGCGAAGTTGTGAGTTGCTCCAGCTTGCTTTTTTGCAGGGGGGCTAGGATGTTGACGGCTTGAGCAGGTGGGGGCAGAGGCTGACTACGACCTGGCAGTGGACGGCAGCCCGACAGAACTCCGGAAGGCAAGGGACATCAAGGGATCCTGAAATATGGTCAAGGGTTGAGAGTTCCGGGTCCAGGGTTTTGCACCGCTGTGTACTTTTGCCCGACGCAGAACCTGGAAGTGCCATGTGTCATCCAGCAAGCATTCTCAAAGTGCAAAATCGCCATCCCGACTTCGCTGGCCTATGTGACTGCCATCACATCCGCCGCGACTCGTAGTCGCCGCGCCATGGGTGCGTGTGATCAAACATGCAGTGAATGCAGTGCCGTAGTTTGACATGTCATAGGGCTCTGACCAGGATGGTCCATGCTCGACATGTCGCTCGCCTGACGTGCCACATCATACAGGCACGAAGCTGAGTCGACCTGACGTGAGCTTTCCGCTGTCGTTGTGGCCTGTCTTTCGATCCAGGCTTTGTCCCAGTGCAATCTGATAATCTGTCTGCTCAGCTCTTGTCTAGACTGACCTCCTCTGTCGGCGAGTGCGTGACCGGTTGTGAACAGCGATTTTCTGCTCAGACCACAGCCACAGGTAGCTCTTGTCCAGACGCATTCAGCATATATGATGCTTCTCAGTCTGGCGCTTGCTTTGGGCTTGGCACGCGTTGGCCTTGCTGCTCTTGGTCCTGGCAGCTGTGCATTCACTGCCATCAACGGACAAGGCCCAGACAGCTTCAGGCTTGTGCTCTTGGAGCCAATGGAGCCCGGTGAGACCATCAAAGTCACGTTTCGGATGGTCGATGACAGCGGAAATTGGGTCGGGTCAAGCAGCAGCAACGATTTGTCATACACCGCTAGCTCGTGCCAGTTGCCGGGTGTAACCCTTGCCGGAGTACAGGGGACGACTTCTGGCAATGCTTTTGCATGGGCGAATGGAGGTGAACAACTCTCAAATGGAGGCGACACATTGATTGCTGTGAGTGCAGACGACACCCCACTTTGCGCTGCGAGCACCGAAGCAGATACTTGGGGCTGGGTCAACGGGGCGCAGACTGCCTTGCCTGCTGGCCTCACGGCGAACTCTGCCGATGCCATCACAAAGGGACCTGTGGTCAGCATGTGCTATCAAGGCGTGACAAGTGGCACTCTGGCAGACGTGAAGGCGGCCATTGTTAATCTGGGCAGCAATTGGCTAGTCAATTCGCAAGGGAACTACGTTTCTTGCACTTCGCCTGCCACCAGCTTCACGCTGAGCGATGCAGCAACGCAGTGCCCCACGACGAGCACTACGACGACCACCACCACCACGACGACCACCACCACCACCACCACCACCACCACGACTACAACCACCACCACCACCACCACCACCACCACCACCACCACCACCACCACCACCACCACCACCACCACCACCACCACCACCACCACCACCACCACGACCACCACCACCACCACTACCACCACCACGACGACCACGACGACCACCATGACAAGCACCACCACCACCACCACCACGACCACCACCACCACCACCACGACCACCGCCACGACCACCACCACGACCACAACCACGACAGCAAGCGAGGAAAACGACATTGATGGCGCTTGGGCCTCAACTGTCTCCTTGTTCACAGTCCTGATTGTTTTGGCCACAGGCTTCTGGAGTTGAGCGGGTGTTCCCTAAAGGGGGATACTGTAGACGCTTAGACTCAGTTTTGCAGCCGGTCTTGTCAGTGTATTCAGTGTCTTCCAGGCAGACCGTAAGATGTCTGGTGGGAAGCCTTTTGGCAGGCGGTGGTCGGTGCGGGGATGAACCCTTGACGCACCCTGATTCTTCTTCGCTCTTTGTACTCTCTATGCAAAGAACTTTTCCCGTGGAGCATGGAGGCTGCGGTGAAACATCCCGCTTCCTTTGCCCCGGGGCGAGAAACCGCGTGAATCTCCCGAACGCGGCGCAAAACACCTTGCTGTGATTTCGTGTTGCGTTTTGCAGGGGGGCTAGGCTGTTGATGGCTTGAGCAGGTGGGGCCAGAGGCTGACTACGACCTGGCAGTGGACGGCAGCCCGACAGAACTCCGGAAGGCAAGGGACATCAAGGGATGTTGAGGGTTGAGAGTTCCGGGTCTAGGGTTTAGAAGTTGAGTGCCGAAACCCCTTTATCATTCACGCGATGGTCCTTAAAGTTGCCCGGTGCATTGCAATTGTTCAGGTGAATCTAGTGGGCCAACTTCCGATACAGGACACTGCAAGACTGAAATTTCTGCACCGCCGTGTGCTTCTTGCCCGATGCAGAACCTGGAAGTGCCACGTGTCATCCAGCAAGCATTCTGAAAGTGCAAAAACTCGCCATCCCGACTTCGCTGGCCTATGTGACTGCCATCACATCTGCTGCGACTCGTAGTCGCCGCGCCATGGGTGCGTGTGATCAGAGATGCAGTGAATGCAGTGCCGTAGTTTCAGCCTTCTTTGGCTTCAATGGCAGACATCTTTAGAATGAACATCCGCCCCCATGCTTAGCTTGCAAGTCTTGGGCCCGAGGTTTCTGCGGCTCTGTGCAACCGCGAGTATTGGCATGTTCCAGGGACATGAAGCAACTCCTCTCCTAGTGCAAAGCGCAAGGGCCAGTCCTCCTGCCCGGAACGCATGCCGGGAGCCACAAGAGCGTCCACTTAGACCGCATGCACAAGCAACCAAGTCATGCCGGCATGTGCCGGCACACACAAGAGCATCCACCCAGACCACATCCACGACCTGAAAGACGGTTCTGCAGATGACTCGTGAGATGCCGCCAAACGAGGGGGGACTTTCATGTTTGTGGTCATATAGCCAGCAGAGTACTTGAAACGGGAAGCTAGAAATGCCGGGATGCCCAGTAGATGGCAGTCGTGTCGCGTCCTGCCCTCGTGGGCAGCTGGGGGGAGCCTGCGCCACCGGAACCCGGGGAGCTGGAGGAGCTGGAGGAGCTGGAGGAGCTGGAGGAGCTGGAGGAGGTGGAGGAGCTGGAGGAGCTGGAGGAGGCGGGGACCATGCAGCAGTCCTTCGCGTCCTTGTTGCGGTGAATTTCTGACATGATCTGGGAGTTTAGGAAGATAAGGGACCCCAATATAGCCCTCAAGTAGTAAGATTCCCTCATCAGAAGGACCCTACCAGTCACAAACACGTCGACATCAATATTGTTTTCTTGGCTCTCCAGTTCATGTGTTGCATGAAGTGAACTCAGTCAAGTCCGCTTCGACATGGGGGGGCGTTTCTGAGCTCAAGATCTGGCATCCCATATAAGCTTTTGCTTCTTGAGCGGTTGGGTAATATACAGTTGTTTGTCGCTATGGTTTGACAACTTTTCAGATTACTCGTTCAATCTGAGTATTGCTGAGTCATCTGTGTGATCTGAGAAAGCGCTCAATGCAGTTCGTTGGACGACGCCATCAAGTTGAATTGGGTGCGCTTGTCCGTTCGCGCACATTCAAACCTAACGTCCAACCATGGTTTAATTGTGTTCTCTGGTTGGTCCATCATATTCTATCATTTTCTCAGGTGCTGGCTGGTACAAAGCAACAGCAGGCTTCAGCTGCCAAGGCCCAAACTTTCCGCTTCTCTGACTCTTCGTTTTGCACCGGAGGTGTGTACGAGTCTCAAGCTCTTCCCAAGCAATGTTCAGGCAGAAGAGTTTTGATTCTTGGAGTCAACTTCCATGCAACGAGGATGCTTAGAGGGCTGGCTGGGGGGTTGCATTCTCGGCAACATAAGACGACAATCCTCCCCACCCCCACCCATGCGCGACTAAAGTGCGACCGATGTTCACCTGTACCCCTCTTTCTCTTCCCCTCCCCCCCTTCCGGAATCCCACTACTCGTGTTATCACCCCTGGGGGCTTGTTTTTCCGTGCGTGATGCGGAATACTTGCACTTGCTCGGCCTTCTCGCTTGTGCTCTCCCAGCATACCCCAAAATGACGCAAGCGGCCAGCCTTAGTCTCAAATCAACTTTCCATGTCTTTGCACAGCTGTTGTTTGATGCGCTTCGATTGCGCACGGTCAGCAAGCTCACAGCGTGGCCCAGTACAGGTTCTGTTTCCGAAATGCCGGAAAGCCGGCAACAGCTGCTGGGGTTGATCTTAGCAGGCATGTGCCGTATTGCACAGACTCTCCAGCTTCTTCTGCATGAACACACCGCTTGCGTTGTTGTTATGGCTCTTTGAAGGAACAGGCCCAGCAGTAGCTCACCTTTAGGATCTTTCTCGCGTGTCCGAGCGATTCGCTGGCCATGACGGCCGTGTTTGTGAGCGGGTTCGATTTTGACACCCCCGAGAGCACCGTGGAAAGCCACTTCAGCGCAATTGCACCAGTCAAGAGCGTTCGCTTCGTCGGGAAAGGAAATGCCGTGGTGACTTATGACGCTCAGATGTTTTAGGAGCAGCTGCGTGAGAAACCCGTTTTTTGGTGTGTAGGGAGGCGAGACTTGGATTTTGGTGTCATGATGCTGCCTCAGCCTGCTGATACTACCGAGGACAAGGAGTCCGATGCCAACCGTGCTGTCGATGAGCTCAACAACAGCAACTTACCATTCAATGTGTTGAAGGTCGTGTAGGCCTTCGCAGGTACCTTTACCCTTGAGCTTCGGGCCGTGAAGGTTTTGAGCCGTAACCCCTGTCCTACACTCCTTGGACCCCTCATCCTTCGTTAACCCGAAGGCACCATGGAGGGCAACAGGCGGTATGTCAACGTGAAGATAGACCAGGGCGGCAAGGGCAAAGGCACCGGAGCGTTTTTATTTTCTTTTGTTGTTTTTTTTTTTTTTTTTTTGTGGGGGGGGGGTCCAGTCCATGAACCCTGAACCCTGAACTCAAACTAAAACATGCGTCCTCCCGAAGGCAAGGATGGCAAAGATGGCGGAAAGGACAGAGGCTATGGAGGGTATGGCTATGGCGGCGGCTACAGCAACGGCGGTGGCTACGGGAAGGGCGGCTATGGCAAGAGCAAGGGCAAAGGAGCCGGGGCTTAGCAGGGGCTTAGCAGGGTCGTGAAGTTGTGAAGCCTCACTTTCGGGGCCACAACCGGGACATGTCAACGTAGATTCATGCAGATGGCGGGCCCATTGTGGGACGCATGAAGCAGCTAGGACCCCCAAGACATCCCAATGAACGCCAAGCGCCCACCGAAGTAAGAAGTACCGAATCCGGAACCAAATGCAAAGAACAGGATTTGGTTTGGCAGTGCAGGGCTTAGGCAACTGCATCAAGTCCCCCGCCCACCGGCACGAAGGACGAGATTACTCCGATGGTGAGATGGAGGATGGCGTCGTAGCGACCTTCAACGACGACAGAGGCGCGGATTGCTGCGGGCCCAATAAGAGGGCTTCTGAGGGAAGGGGCTCCTAGAGCCCAGTCGGAGCCCGCCAGGATACGGGTTCATCACGCCGAGCCACGGCGGCGACGATGTCTACGTGCACTTCAGTGCCATCCAGTCGGATGACTCCTACCGCCCCCCGGGCTGAATGAGGTTGTCGCTGAAATCATTCCCCTGGTCGCTTTCGCCCAGGCACCTTGCATCAAGGCCAGAACGTGCGCTTTGTCATGGGCGAGGATCCCAAGGGCAAGGGGAGCCCTGGTGCGGGTTTTTGGGGGATCCGTTGCGCCCAGAATCGAGTCGTGGCATGCCCCTGCTCCCCCTGCATGAGCCGAGGAAAGGCAAGGGCAAAGCGGTCTGCGTGGTTCCCAGCTGAGTGGGGTTTTGGCGGTCAGTATCATTTGTTTCAACTTACATGACACCCCGAAGGCGGGGTGATTGTTTTGGAAAGCAGCGTCCACTCTTTGCCCAGTTCCAAGATGGATATCGGATCACGTAAATGCCCTTATAGCCCGGTTGGAAACCCAAAAAACGCGGCATTGTGGGCATCGGGTGGACCTTGTGATTGCGGAGGGGTGCGAGTTCTGAGCTGGGATCTTTTCTGCTCAATATTACACAGCAAGTGGCGCGAAAACGGCGCCCAGTAGTCTCATGAGTGTCCCGGGGACATAAAGGAAAAGTATGCGTGAGCAGAAGCTCGCCAAGTTGCAGACAGGTGCCTTCTTTGGTCGTTCTGGTTCATGGGGGGCATGTCATTTCCATGTCGTCGTGCTTCTTTTTTGGCCCGGAGAGTTGAGTCCTATTTAGCTCCGTTAGAGCCAAGGCGCCCCATCTTCGAGCGCGCTTCAGAGAATCGAAACCCCCCCCCCCCCCCCAGGAAGGCAAGCAATGCTTCAACCAACTCCCTGAGGTCCCCAGAGGTCTCCATCCCTTTCCTGAAGCCTTTGAGAGCCCTCTTGGAAGCCCCCCCAGCCCCCCCCCTCTGCACATTCCTTGAATTTTTGGAACCTCGAGAGCCGCAGCTCTTTTAGCCATGTCGGGCGACGACATCAGCCTTGTGCAGAGGCTCGCTTTGGCATTGCCCTATCTTCGCAGGCGTCTGCGACTGTTGATACAGGTTCTTGACATGTTTTGGAGAAGTTCTGAAAGAATGCATGTAGCGGACTTGACAGCCCGGAGCAGTTGCTGCCACGCCCCCTTGGTTTCAAGGGGCTGTGGCGGGCATTGGCACATCAAGCATTGTCTAGGATACTGAAGTTGATATCCGACGGGTCTGGGTTAGAAAGCGCGAACAATGTAGTCGCATGTTAAAGTGCGCAGGGTGTCAGCCCTGACTTAGGCCCCTAAATCCTGTGCAAGTACTCGGCAGTCGTGGTGTGCGGGGGGGATCACAGGCCGAGGTCGAGGCTTGCACAGAAGTGGATTGGACAGGGCAGTTTTGATGTCGTACGTGCGTGGCGTCCCCCTGATCCTCAACCCTAAACTGCACTTCAGAAGTCAAGAGGGTTCCCCGTGCCTCAAACACCCCAGGCCCTCAGCCCTTAACAGGCCGAGACCACCCCTTGGAAAAGGGATTCCCTGTTAAGGGCCCGTACCAGGGGACCATGTAACCACCCTTAGAGGGTCGATCCGCGCCTGGCAAGATGTGGGCCACAATTGTAGGGAGCACCCTGCGGAGGATCCAGCAGGTCTTCGAGCGCTTTGACAAGGTGGGTGGAGAAAGAGCATAGGGATGCCTCGCGCGGAGGTCATGAGACAACATGAAAGCTTCAGCTGCGAAGATTTAGCCTTAGGATTTGGGCTCTAGAACCCCCCTAATGTTGACCTCGAATTAAACCCCCCCCCCCCCCGTCTGGCCCGGGGTTGGTTTCAGGGCTCCAGGCTCTAGTTCAAGGCCCGGGAAGAGAAGGGCAATTCTCTATGGAACCCCCTCCAAAAAAGAAAGGAGGCCTGTGCCGGGATTTCTGATTATTGAGGGGGGTTTGTAATTGAGTTCCGGGATCCGAATTCTTTTATTACGGGGGGGTTCATAAGTATGAGGTTAACATTAAAAATGTTCCTTAACATGGTCCTCTTAGTCTGAAACCCAACCCCCCCGCCCCCCGGATTCCTGAGCCAAGAAAGAAGCCGTAATGCCAGGATGGTGGCGGGTCCTTGGACAGGCAGGAGATGCAGTAGCCCGGCCAAAGGATTCAAGCCCTCACATTGAAGTCTAGGGTTTAGGGTTTTGGGTTTTGGGTTTGGGGTTTCTAAGTTTCTGAAACCCAAAGAACCTCTCATCCTGCCATCAAAGGGGGTTTTTGGGGTGAAGATATGAAGGTATAAGGTTTTGCTACTTGAAGCTCAGCTGTCGTATCCATCCCCGAACTCTAAGGCCAACCTAGGAGTACTAGCCTGACGTCAGAAGTTCAGGAATCATGATTCCTAGATGCCCAGAGTGCCTGTGACCCGCACTTAGACACCACGGGTCAGAATGTGGCAGGAGAAAGCCCTGAAATTGGTGAACCAAAAGCCCTTTGAAGGTTTTTTGATGCTCTTGCTGTGTGCTGCGGATAATCTCGAGGGACAAAGCAGCCTAAACTAGCCACTTCCCGTTTCTTGCCTTGAACCCTGAAGAACTCCCTAGCCCTAAGAAGCCCACACAGTGCCCGTCTCCTTTCACCGTTTTCGAGGTTGGTCTTCAAGACCCTCTGCCCGAACTTCTCGTCCAAGGAGATCTCCAAGTTTATGCAGGAGTTGGACAGAGGCTGCGTAGCTTGAGGAGGTTTCGAGGATTCCCGGTGTAGTTCGAGGAAGGTTTGGCAGGGTCGCGCTAATTTTGAGGCTCGGCTTACTCGCTTTCTAGACCATCTTGGCATGCTGCCCCCCTTCCCCCCTCCCCGCCCTTTTCCCCCCCTCTTCCCACACATGGGTTTGCATCAGTGGCTTTTGGACGATGATTGTGGCTCAAGGGCCAGGAGCGACTCTGCCATTCTGATAGAACCCGTAAGTTTCCGGGGGGGGGGGGGGGATTTTTGTAGGTCGTGACCCTTCTGAGCAAGCAGAAGCCCTGGGAGGTGGAGACGGCGCAGTCTCGCACGGCGAGTTCTTAGAGTGGATCAAGGCCGGTAGCAGCGGGCTCAGAGGAGCCTCAGATCCTGAACCCCAGAGGCTTCGATCCGAGGTCCTCGTCCGTGGCTCTTCTTCCGGCACCCCTGATATTCGCCCTTTTCATCATCCTAGGCCAGAGTCGGATCTTGGGGCTCAGGGTTGGGGGGGTCTTCGAAGCAAGCTCATCGTGACGATTGATGATCATAACTTATCATGAATACTGTCAGGATGATGATGATGATGATGATGATGATGATGATGATGATGATGATGATGATGATGATGATGACATGTGCAAGGTCCCGCCGCCGCGGAGGTGTACAAGGTGATCCTGAAAGAGACTGGGGACGCGATGCCGCTCCAGCCTGTTTGTTCTTTTGGGACCAATCCTGAACCCCCAAACCCGAAACCCGAAAACCCCCAAAACCCCTAAACCTTAAACTCTAAACCCCTAAACCCCTAAATCCCTAAATCCCGAACCCTTAACCCCTAAACCCCTACACACCTAAACCCCTAACCCTAAACCCCTAAACCCCTAAACCCCTAAACCCCTAAACCCCTAAACCCCTAAACCCTGAACCCTCAAGACCCTTCCCCCCCCCCCCCTCCCCCAAGCCACGCCCAGCTTTGAGTCCCGGAGGCTTTCGGGCTACCCAAGGCAGATACTATATCCCCCCTTGGGGATTTTTTTTCATTTTCTTTATGTATAACCCAAGAGAGGATATTAAAAAATAGTATTTTTGTTAAGGCTCTGAGGGGAGTATAGGATAAGGGGGTTTCCGGACGTAGGGGTACCTTATTGGGGTCCTTCTGTTAAGCGAAGCCTACTATTTGCGGGACTCTATGAGGGGTGCCCAATTTTCGTAAACCCCCATATTCCTATAGATAGATGGGATAAGGTCTATGGCATCCCAAAGAAGAGACCCAGGGATCCAAGGTCCCGAACTGGCGCCCGAAGCCCTGTACCGTTCCTCAGTCTATTCTCCCTAGGGTTTAGGGTTTAATTTTGGGTGTAGGGTTTAGGGTAACCCTTCCTCCAACCCCAACATCTGTTCCTCAAACCCCACCCTAAAGCGCAGCCCGAGACCGCCTGCTATGGCCTTTTCCGCCTTCCCACGCGACAGGTCTGCCCGAGTACGGGAAGTCTTTCAGAGGCTGCAGACCCATTTCTCCCAGCAATATGCGTGGTGGGACGGTTTGATTGACCAGTTGATGAGCAGCCGGCTGAGTGAAGTGAATGGTGAGCATCCTTAACGAGCAACAGGGTGGGTTCCTGGCAGGTTTGATTCCGATGGCGGGGGCTACTTGGACAAGGACGAGCTTTCGCGTGTCTTCCGCACGTGGCTCGGCGACTTGAGCCCGCCTTTTGGAGGACACAGAGCTCGAGACCAAAAACTATTATATGTATACAGATATGTGGCATGGACCTTTAGGGTCTATTTGGCACTCCCCTTTTGTTTGCTATTTAAACGGTTCAATTCACACATACAATTTGTAGGGTTTAGGTTTAAGGCAAAATCTATGGCTTAGGGCCAGTTCGGTTCACGGCTAAGGGCTCCCATGTTTGGCATCACATCTCTTATTTTCCTAGGGCTTCGCCACCTACCATCTCATTCTAGGGTGTAAGTTTTCCGTTCAACCCTCGTTTAAGGGTGTGGTGTTTGCCATAGATATACTACTTTAAAAAATCAATAATAACATAAATAACTGCTGGAAATGACAAACCCTGAGCGCCCTCAAGTGTGTTGCTTTAAATAAGACGATAACATACTTCTTTGTCAATACTGTTGTTTTAGCCGCTTTTCGCCTTTTCCTATTAGTATTGTTTTTGCTTACCTGATATAACACGAAGGAAGGGAAAAAAGGGAAGACACCACTTCATCTCGATGTGTTTATCTCTTCTTTCCTTCCCTCTCAAGCTTTTTTTCAATCTCTCTCTCTCTCTCTCTCTCTCTTCCTCGCTCTGTCTCGCTCTCTCTCTCTCTCTCTCTCTCTCTCTCTCTCTCTCTCTCTCTCTCTCTCTCTCTCTCTCTCTCTCTCTTTGTCTGCCATCTCTTGCTCTCTCATCCCTCCCCTCCCCTCTTTCCTCCCTCCCCTTCTTTCCAAAACTGTCTGCGGACAATAAGGAATAACAGAGAACAAAAAGGAAAAGATAGGATGAAAGCAGATGGTGGGGACAGGAAGGGAGAACTCCTCTTTCGCTCGGCTCACACGTTTTCTCTTCCCTTGCCTTCATCCTCTGCTCTTCTCCCTTTTCTCTTCATAAGAAGAAAGGACAAATGAAAGGAAACGAGAGCTCAGGGAAAGCAAGACGCCCTCGCTCTCATCATCTGCCCTTCCTCGACTGCATTGTCTCCATCTCTCTCCCTCTCACCCTCCCTCCCTCTCTACTTCCGCAAATTCCCTTTGGCCAGGGAAAGAAAGACTGAAAGTAAGAGAGAAAGTAAGAGAGAAACACAGAGAGAGAGAGAGAGAGAGAGAGAGAGAGAGAGGGAGAGAGAGAGAGAGAGAGAGAGAGAGAAAGAGAGAGGGGGGATGAAAAGAAGAAGAGATGAAGAAAGCAGCAGGGCTTTGTCCCCGCCTCTGTTCATTCCTTGTTCTTCTCTCCTGTCTCATTGGTGATCAGTGATGAACCAAGAAGATCTTTCCGTTCTTTCATTTTCTTTTTTCTGGTGGAAAGCTAAGAAGCAGAAGGAGAGGAAGGAACGTGGAGAAATAGAAAGAGAAGCAAGAACGAAAAGAACAATACGCAGAAATGACGGAGAGAAAAGGAGAACTGCAAGCCCAGCGGAAGAAGAAAATAGAAAGAGAGAGAGAGAGAGAGAGAGAGAAGAGATGAAGATAAGATAAGGGTGAAAAGGTGAAAAAAAATGAAAACAACAATCTAAAAGCAAAGTAGCTAAACAAAACCTTCTGGCTCACCCCTTCAACTCTAAACCACCCTAAACCCTCGGTATATTGAGATATAACAGCACAGTTCCCGTAGCATGCTATATCAGAAAACCATTTCTTCCTACGAGATGTACAACCGCCTAAAACACGGTGACGAAAAATATAACAGTGCAATGAGGCGTCTGAAAAAACTTTCTGGCTTGCCCCTTCAACTCTAAACCACTAAACCCTCGCTATGTCAAGGCTTAACAGCACAGTTCCCGTAGCATGCTATGTCATTTCTTCTTACGAGACGCACAACATAAACCAAGGTTTCGTACACTTTTTGTAGTCAGGATGTGATACCCTGTTGCTTTGGACGAGTATTATGTAAGACCTTATGCGCCTGTGAGTCTTGCGGATACTTGGAAAATAAGCATTACCCGTGACAAATGGTAACCATGACGGGAGATTTGTGGGAACCATTAAGAATGAAAAGCAAGATACTTGCGAGCAACTACTTGCAGCCTGCTGGTCTCAGGAAATCGCGAAAGGATATTTGTCCCTGGGGCTTACAGTAAATGATTTTCCGCATTGCCCTATGCGCTCGAATACTTCTTAGTCTTATGGTTCGTTCTCCGCTATCGGTATTTGTTTGATATGCCATGAATTTATCCTATATACACAGATGAAGTGGGCACCTATTCTAAGTACTTTCTCTTTGCGGCTTGCTGACTGAGAGATGTTTTCAGGTGTGAAAAGGCCTCACGCGCCAACATCTGCTTCTGGACAACAAAGTAGAGATAATATGTTTTGCGAAGGGGGGGCCAAGACAGTGCTTAATCGGCCCTGGGTTTGACGATTGAAGATTGAAGACACCGGGGAACTCTCCCCGGAGCATCTTCAATCCAAGACCCATGCCGATTAAGCACTTCGGCCCAGGGTTAAAAGCCCAGGATTGAAGATGCTCCGGGGAAAGTCCCCGGGCATCTTCAATCTTCAATGTTCAAACGCAGGGCCGATTAAGCACTCCACCTGCTGCTTAATCGGCCCTTGGATTGAAGGTTGAAGATTGAATATGCCATGGAACTCTCCCCGGAGTATCTTCAACCCCAGACCCCTGCCGATTAAGCACTTCATCTGCCTAATCGGCCCAGGGTTGAGAATCTATGATTGAAGGTGCTCCGGAAGAGTTCCCGGGCATCTTCAATCTTCAAACCCAGGGCCAATTAAGCAGGTGGAGCGCTCAATCGGCCTTGAGGCCGAAGGATCAGGATTGAAGATGCTCGGGGAGAGTTCCTCGGCATCTTCAATCTTTAATCTTCAGACCCAGGGCCGATTAAGCAGCTGGAGCGCTTACTCGGCCCTGGGGTCCAGTAGTTCAATATTTCATATGCTCTGCTAAAGTTTTCCGTAGCATTTTCAAGCCCCCCTCCCAAAGACCCATCCGTATTTTGGTGTTTGGGATACCGAAGCAATGTAAGCCAAAGCTAAATGAAAGGGAAGAAGTCCCTTTTTCCTCTGCCTATCTTCTTCCTCCCACTCCTCTCTTCCTCTCCTATTCTTCTCTTAGCGTAGAGCATGGAATGATGAGAGGGAAAGGGTAAAAGCGGATGAGAAAAGTGACAGAGAGGGCAGGGCGAAATCTTCATTTCCTTACCTTCTTCGTCCCTCTCACCTCTCCTTCTGATCGTTCTCTTGCTTTCTCATTTGAGAAGGATGTGGAAAGGAGGGAAGGGCAGGGCATGGAACCATCCCAATGTTGCTGTTCTTAGGGGCCTCGGGAGTTGGCAGGGGCTCCCGGGAGCCTCCCGAACGTAGGGGCCTTTTAGAGGCTAGAGCTTCCAGTAGCATCCAACCCTCCCTCCCAGCTCGACATGAGACCTTGCCTCTCCTCCCCCACCTCTTCGTTTCCTCGTAGAAAGAGACAGATCATAGTCCGCCATCTTATCATGCCCTCATTCTCCTTGCTTAAGCTTGCCCTTTCTATCCCCCTACTTAATGGCAAAAGGAACAGAAGAGGAAAGGCTCATGGGCTAGACACGAGAAAAGCGAGAGCGGAGAAGGGAGGAGAACGAACATGGACAAAGAAAGGGAGGAGAGCTAGTGGGAGGATAGAAAGATAGAGAGGAGAAATGAAGGACAAAGACCGTGGAAGAAAGGAGTGAGCGATGCTCGGGACATATGTGTAAGGGGTGAGGAAAAGGAACAGTGGATAACAAAAACAAGTGTCCTGCTTTCCCTCTTCTCTTTCCTTCTTGATCTTCCCTGACCCCTTTTTGTTCTCCAAGTGCTCTTTTCACGATCGCTTCCCTCTTCTTCATTGTTTCTGTTTCCTTCACCCTGTTCCCCTATCTGTCGCTCTTCCACTGTCTTCCTTCTTCCTCTTCTCCCTAATTGTTGTCTCCTTCTCTTTGCTCCTCTATCTGTCTCCATCTCTCTCACTCCGGTGCCCCCCGGTGTTTTCTGTTCATTGCTCATCCTTTCTGACTGTACGAGGCAGACCCTGTACAAACGATGGGTCCTGTTCTGGACATGGTCCCGCACTGCCTCTTTCCACACACTCCAAACCCCTCTGAGCCTCCCCCAAGAGTTTCAGGCGGCCTTCAGAGAGCGTCTCCCAGGGGCCTCCAAGAGCCCCCATATTGCTAAGAAGAAAAACCAGAGAAAAGACCACAGAGACATGTTGAGAAGTGTGGAAGGTAGTTACAAGGAGCAGGAGAAGTCTCCTTCATTCTCCTTGCTTGGCCTTGCCCTTCTTCTACCCCCCCCCCGTGGCCGGCTTAAATAGGGTTTATTTGGAAGCTGGGAGTCGTGTTTTGGTGTGGTAGATAGAAAGGAAAGGGCATGAGAAAGTAGCGAGAGGAGCTCTTCAATTCACTTCCTTATCTCCTATGCTCTTTTCCTTCTTTATTCTTTATTGCAACAGGAGAAGACAGGAAAAGGGCTTCCATTCCCCTCATCTTCCTTTCTTGTGTTTTTGTCATTTAGAGGGGAACAGGAGAAGAGAGCGAGAGAGGAGGAGAGAGGAGCGATACAGGGAATCCAATTTCAATGGAACAGCAAAGAAAAGAATAGAAGAGAGATGAATAGAGAAGAGGGAGAGACAAAACGAGGCGCTGAGAAGATGGCACTCTTCTTTATCTATCCTATCTCCCTTATCTCTCCCTTCCCTCTTTCTTTTCGAAATAAGAACAACTAAAGAGGAAGAATTTATGAAAAGGAGACGAGTAAGGAAAAGAGCAGAAGAGATAGGCCGAGAAGAGGGATGTGATGAAGTACGGCAAGGTCCACGTGCAAGGAGTCACCCTCTGCTTTACCTTCCACTGCTTCATCATACAAGTTCCTTTCTTGTGTTTTATCAGTTAAACGGAGACAGAAGGAGAGAAGGGAAAGGGAAGTGAGAGAGGAGAGACAACAAGGAGGCCATTTTAATTTTCTGGAAGGGTACTGAACAGAAGAGAGGAGACAAGAAACAAGGAGACGGAGGAACACAACAAGGCGCAAAGAAGATGGCACTCTTCTTTATCTATCATCTCTACCTTCCTTGTCTCTCCCTTTTCCCTCTTATTAAAAAGGACAAGACCTCTTCGCAGATAGGTGCCCTCTCTCCTCTTCAGGAAGCCCCCTTGCCCTTATTTTGCTTGCTTTCTGAAACGACAAGGTAAACAACACATAGAAAGAGAGGAAATGGAATGAACCAATAGGCAGTGGAGTTCTTCAATTTCTTTACCTATCTCTTTTCATCTTTTTTCTTTTTTCATTCAACAAGGAAAAGAAGCTTCCTTTTGTGTGTTTTTGAGATTAAAAGGAGAACAAGAGAAGAGAAGGGAGAGAGAAAGGAGAGAGGAGAGATCAAAAGGAATGCAACTCTAAAAGGAAGAGCAATGAAAAGAATGGAAGACAAATGAGGACAGGCGAGGGAAATGCAAAAATCAGGCAAGGAGAAAATGGTGCTCGTTTTCATCTTTCCTCTGTTTCTTATTTTTCTCTTCTCTTGTTCATTTCCGTTAGAAAAACACAAAAGGAAGAACAATGAACATGTAAGCAAACCCAGCTGATGCTCATGATTGTTTCCTTTCTCTCTCTCTCTCTCTCTCTCTCTCTCTCTCTCTCTCTCTCTCTCTCTCGCTCTCTCTCTCCCTCCCCATATATGGGCGATGGAACGGGTGTCCTTTTTGGGCCGTTTTCTGCATCTTCAAGCGAGGAAAAGGGACACGCCGCAAGAAAACACTTAGGGTGTCCCTTTTGTTCGTTTGAAGACACAGAAAGCGATTAAAAGGGACGTCCATTTTGGATTGGCAGGCAACCCAGCTGATGCTCATCATTTCTCTCTCTTTCCCTATATATGGGCGATGGAACGGGTGTCCTTTTTGATCGTTTTCTGCATCTTCAAGCGAGGAAAAGGGACACCCCGCAAGAAAGCACTTAGGGTGTCCCTTTTGCTCGTTTGAAGACACAGCAAGCGATTAAAAGGGACGCCCATTTTGGATTGGCGGATGATGCGGGATGATGGGGGATGACGCGGGATGAGAGAGATGATGGGACATGATAAGGGGGCTGACTGTCTCATCCCCCATCATCCCCATCACCCCCCATCATCCCCCATCATCCCTTTCACCCCTCCCGAAATGATGGGAGATGATGGGGGATGATTGGGGGATGATGGGGCATGATGGGGGATGAGAGAAATGATGGGAGATGGTGGGAGATAATGCGGGGTGATGTGGGATGGGCAATGAGCGGGTATATCTGAAATCCGGGAAATGACAAATCCCGGGTTTTGATGTTCAAGGGTTTTAGTTATTTTTCTGAATCTTAACTTTTTATGAACTCCTTACACAATCAAATCCGGGATTTGATTTTTGTTAAGGGTTTCAAGGATATTAGCCTAAACTCTAAACCCTAAACCCTAAACCCTAAACCGAACCCCGGGATTTAGTTCTTTAAGGATTTCAAGGATTTTTTGTGCATTTCAAATTTCATGAGACCCTTGAACAATCAAATCCCCGATTTAATTTTCAAGGATTTCGAGGATTTCATAAAATTTAAATACCGGACCTCCTGCAAAAGCAAAACCTCCCCTCCCCAGCCAGAGTACGGGAAGACCCCGCGGATTTTAAAATTTATGAAATCCTTGAAATCCTTGAAAAATTAAATCCCGGGATTTGATTTTTCAAGGATTTCATCAAATTTAAAATGCCCCAAAAATCCTTGAAATCCTTAAAAAATCAAATCTCGGGATTTAATATTTTAAGGATTTCAAGGATTTTTTGGGCATTTTAAATTTGATGAAATCCTTGAAAAATCAAATCCCGGGATTTAAATTTTCAAGGATTTCAAGGATTTCATAAATTTTAAAATCCGCGTGGTCTTCCCGTACTCTGGGTGGGAAGGGGAGGTTTTGCTTTTGCAGGAGGCCCGGTATTTAAATTTTATGAAATCCTTGAAATCCTTGAAAAATTAAATCCCGGGATTTGATTTTTCAAGGATTTCATAAAATTTAAAATGCTCAAAACATCCTTGAAATCCTTAAAAGATTAAATCCCGGGATTTGATTTTTTAAGGATTTCAAGGAGTTTTTGGGCATTTTAAATTTGATGAAATCCTTGAAAAATCAAATCCCGGGATTTGATTTTTCAAGGATTTCAAGGATTTCATAAAATTTAAATACCGGAGCTCCTGCAAAAGCAAAACCTCCCCTTCCCACCCAGAGTACGGGAAGACCACGCGGATTTTAAAATTTATGAAATCCTTGAAATCCTTGAAAAATTAAATCCCGGGATTTGATTTTTCAAGGATTTCATCAAATTTAAAATGCACAAAAAACCCTTGAAATCCTGAAAAAATCAAATCCCGGGATTTAATATTTTAAGGATTTCAAGGATTTTTGGGGCATTTTAAATTTGATGAAATCCTTGACAAATCAAATCCCGGGATTTGATTTTTCAAGGATTTCAAGGATTTCATAAAATTTAAATACCGGAGCTCCTCCTGCAAAAGCAAACCCCCCCCTCCCCACTCAGAGTACGGGAAGACCACGCGGATTTTAAAATTTATGAAATCCTTGAAATCCTTGAAAAATTAAATCCCGGGATTTGATTTTTCAAGGATTTCATCAAATTTAAAATGCCCAAAAACTCCTTGAAATCCTTAAAAAATCAAATCCCGGGATTTAATCTTTTAAGGATTTCAAGGATTTTTGGGGCATTTTAAATTTCATGAAATCCTTGAAAAATCAAATCCCGGGATTTGATTTTTCAAGGATTTCAAGGATTTCATAAAATTTAAATACCGGGCCTCCTGCAAAAGCAAAACCTCCCCTTCCCACCCAGAGTACGGGAAGACCACGCGGATTTTAAAATTTATGAAATCCTTGAAATCCTTGAAAAATTAAATCCCGGGATTTGATTTTTCAAGGATTTCATCAAATTTAAAATGCCCAAAAAATCCTTGAAATCCTTAAAAAATCAAATCTCGGGATTTAATATTTTAAGGATTTCAAGGATTTTTGGGCATTTTAAATTTCATGAAATCCTTGAAAAATCAAATCCCGGGATTTGATTTTTCAAGGATTTCAAGGATTTCATAAAATTTAAATACCGGCCTCCTGCAAAAGCAAACCTCCCCTTCCCACCCAGAGTACGGGAAGACCACGCGGATTTTAAAATTTATGAAATCCTTGAAATCCTTGAAAAATTAAATCCCGGGATTTGATTTTTCAAGGATTTCATCAAATTTAGAATGCCCCAAAAATCCTTGAAATCCTTAAAAAATCAAATCTCGGGATTTAATATTTTAAGGATTTCAAGGATTTTTTGGGCATTTTAAATTTGATGAAATCCTTGAAAAATCAAATCCCGGGATTTAATTTTTCAAGGATTTCAAGGATTTCATAAATTTTAAAATCCGCGTGGTCTTCCCGTACTCTGGGTGGGAAGGGGAGGTTTTGCTTTTGCAGGAGGCCCGGTATTTAAATTTTATGAAATCCTTGAAATCCTTGAAAAATTAAATCCCGGGATTTGATTTTTCAAGGATTTCATAAAATTTAAAATGCTCAAAACATCCTTGAAATCCTTAAAAGATTAAATCCCGGGATTTGATTTTTTCAGGATTTCAAGGAGTTTTTGGGCATTTTAAATTTGATGAAATCCTTGAAAAATCAAATCCCGGGATTTGATTTTTCAAGGATTTCAAGGATTTCATAAAATTGAAATACCGGAGCTCCTGCAAAAGCAAACCCCCCCCCCCTCCCCACTCAGAGTACGGGAAGACCACGCGGATTTTAAAATTTATGAAATCCTTGAAATCCTTGAAAAACTAAATCCCGGGATTTGATTTTTCAAGGATTTCTTAAAATTTAAAATGCCCAAAACATCCTTGAAATCCTTAAAAGATTAAATCCCGGGATTTGATTTTTTAAGGATTTCAAGGATTTTTTGGGCATTTTAAATTTCATGAAATCCTTGAAAAATCAAATCTAGGGATTTCCCGGCGGCAAAAGAGGCGTGCCAAATAGACCCTAAAGGTCCTACGTACATACAGATATATATATATATATGTGTATGTATGTATACTGAGAAGAGTAATGCCATTTTATTGAGTATCGTTGTTATTGTTTCAACCTGAAGCCACTCCGGCAGCTTCGGGCCTTGTTGGGGGGAGAGACACTTCGCCAGGCTGAACTCGGACTTCACCTTCAAGGACATCGAGGCCTTGTGCAGAGATCTGGACCGAGGCCCAGCTTGCCATGGGTTTAGGGTTTAGGGTTTAGGGTTCAATTGGCTTGGGGGGTTCCTCGGCGAGGTCTGAAGTATGGTCCCGCACATGGAACTCCAAAGACTCCTGACTCTTCTGCTTTTCAGATCCCCTCCCTCCCCCCCAATCCTTACGGCAGGAGCCGAGACCACATGCCGTTTGTGCCATTGTGCCAACGTTTCTGTCTCCTCGCCAAGGAACAAAGGGGGTACATGACCTCTGGGGGTAACAAAACCGTAACGCAGGCGGAGACGGCAAGGTTTCACACAAGGAGCTGCGCCGGGGCAACTGCCGAGGGGACGAGTGGTTGCCTTGGGATCACCTTTCCGTGGGCGTCTTTCAATCTTGGGGTTTTGAGGGACTTGGGTTCCAGAGGCGGAAACTGTTCGGCCCCCAAGCTGTGAGGGCACGGTGCACGTTCTCCAAGCCCTACACCCCTAAAACCCCAAGCCTAAACAGCCTCAAAACCCTAAAATCCCACAGTGTCCTGTGTTCAAAGGAGTTCCTCCACTGGCTGAAAAAGGGAACCGAGCTGGCACAGGCGGGGGGTTTTGGCAATCCGAGCATTGGCTTGGTGGTGTTTACAGAGGCCTGGACGCCCTGTATTTCAGTCGCAGAAAGGCTTAGATTGAGGGGCAGGAAGAGGCCCAATCCTCCCGAGGTTGGTGTTGGAGTGCGTGCTTTCGAGCGAGTATGTGGTTGGAAGCCTGGGAAACATAAAGGCCCCAGAACCTTCGGTGGCCCCCGACAGCCCCAACCTTGAGCTCCCAAAGCAAGTGCTCAAGCAGAAGTGCATTTTGGCTTATGCGCTGTTCGCGGCCGTTGTGGCGTCCAGGCATCAGCTTTGCACAGTGACCATTGGTGCAAGACGAACCAAGACCTGTACCGAGAGATCCCATCGACGCATCTGGCCCCAGCCCTCCCCCAACCAGAATCTTTGCCTCGTCAGGAGCGGAGCCTGCACATCATCATTTCCCAATTGGGAGAGTAGGGAGACCACCCTTGGATTCAATCGAGAGAACGCAGCGCCTCCCCAAGAACCGGCGAGTTGACATTGCGCTGGGGGTAGCTCTGAGCAGTTCCCTGCAGGCGGTGTCGCGCGCCATCCTGAGGCAAGGCCCCGCTCTGAAGGGCCACCCTAGGAGTCAAAAACCTGACCCTCGAACCCTGAATCACAGAGATTATGCATCCAGACTGTGGCTGTTGAAGATCCGTGCAGTGAGGCGAGATTTGTGGGATTGCGGGGCAGTGGGTTTACGGCCCTGGTGCTTGGGTTGTGGAGGGGTCTACAGTCTCGGATCATGTTCTATATGATGTGGGTGGCCTATCTGAAACCCTCAACCCCATGCTGAATTTCCTGCCCTCCATGCTCCACCTCCTGCTTCAGGGCTGTAGTATTGACTTTGTTTGACATTCAAGATACAACTACACCATCCATTTTTCAGAAACAGGCAGACGTTTTTTGCGTATGAATGGCTATCATTCAGAACGAGCCGGTCCACTTTCAAGATCTGCGCGATTAAAAAGGAAATCTCACCAAGTCTATAGCTGTAGGATTTGGTACATAATTTAGTCGTGCATGCGGGGGGGGGGGGGGGTTGTGGGGGGTGTGCCAGAAGCCTGTAGCTGCCTCGCGGACTCAGGGAAACCGGGGAAGCCAGGGAGGAGCGCATCAAGAAGGTGCGGTCATGGGGGCTTGGGCATCTAGGGTTGAGGGTTTAGGGTTTAGGGTTTCGGGTTTAGAGTTTAGGGTTTAGGGTTAGGTTTTAGGTTTTAATTCGGCGTCAAGGCTCATGGGTTCGTGGGGCTCAGGAGCTCAGGTCGCTTTACTTCACGGGACCTTACCAGGTCCTCCACTAAAGGATCGTTGCCCTCCCCTCCTATATACCTCCCCTGAACCCGAATTTTCTGCCGCTCCCCAGAAAGACCTATACCTCCGTGAAGGCTTTATGGGTTTCGGAATTAGCCAACCCCCCCCCAGGCCCCCCCCTTACCCCCAAGCTTGAAACCGTGGCCTCTAAGCTTGAATCCATCCCTCAACCTCCTCCACATCCCTCAACATCCGCAAACCCTGAAACCCAAACATCCTTCCCAAACATCCCCAAACATCCCCTGAACCGCGAAAACCTCTTGGGGTTTGCGCCAGGCCTTCCAGGCCTACGATGCCACTGGCGACGGCTCGCTGAACATCGAGGAGCTCCGACAGACGCTGAAGGCGCCGAGCGCATGGTGGGGGTTCGCGACAACAAGGGGCCCTTAACATCGACCCCCCGCTTCAAACAAGAAGGATTCCCTAAAATGAATAAAAGGATCCCACCAGAATTTTGGAAGCCACCAAGTCTCCCAGCGTCGGCCCTGGTGACTGCTTGGACCTTTTTTTTTTCCGCTGCAGGATGCGTTGGCTTAGGAGCGACTTGGTGTTTGTGGGTTTCAGGTCCTCGGCAGCTTCTCCGAGGACGAGGTGCGCAAGGTCTGCGTGGACCTGGACAAGAGCAAGGCACGGCGTCCTCCCCTTTGCGAACCCCTTGGGTGCGCTGCGGGAGCAGATCTGCTGCCTCTGAACCCAAAACCCAAGGCCCTCCTGGTGCAAGATGGGACCAGGAACTCGGGGTCCCTGCGTCGGGAGCCTCCTTCAGGCCCCTGAACTCCCTCAATTGAGGATGGCGAGGTGTCCTTCCAGGAGTTCGCTTCCTGGCCCCTCGGTTCTTAGCAGGTTTGGGGTCTCGGATTTGATGGGTTTGTCGAATTCGGGAAGTGTCAAGGTTTGGAGGGAAACGGATTTCTGGGATTTTGAGAGTTCGTTCTTGGAGCCCCCCCGGTGCATGAAGCGAAGCGCCCAGCGGCTTAACCCAGGGCGCAATGCGTGGATGCAGGGTTCTGCAGGTACTTATCACGCCAGCGATGTGAGAGGCTTTCTTACCTACTAACCGGGGGATCCTCAACGGAGCCGCGTGCCCCACTCTCCCCTTCGCGCCCCACCCCCCAGCCTTGAACTGCAGAAAGCCCTGGCCACTCGCGTTCACCATTCCCCAAGAGCCTGAACCTTCGAACCTTAGAACCTTAGAGCCTTTTAACCTTAGAACCTCTGAACCTTAGGATCAAGTCCGGGACTGGCCCGCCGGCGGCCATGAAGGCCAAGGTGCGCAACCTGCCGGCTCGGTGGGGGGTTCTGGGGGCGACTCCCTGCGAAGCAGTGGGTGACTAGGGATGGTTTGAGTTTCCGAAATTCCTCCAATTCCTGCCCTAAGCCCGAAGCCCTAAACCCTAAACCCTAAACCCTAAACCCTCGATGCTAGCGACTTGGGATGGTTTGAGTCTCCAGGGTTCCTCGGTGCTTGAGCTGTGGGCGCTTCCACAGGCTGTCTTTTGGCTGCTTCGTAAGCCCAAAACCCCCGAGATGGTGACTCCCTAAGTCGCTCCTAAGCGCCGAAACCCACATGGGGATTTACGATATGAGTGGTGCCATATTGCGGTCCTCATCATGAGGGAACCCTACTACTTTTGGGAATTCCTTATTCGGGGGCCCCTTAGGTTCGTAAACGCCCAAAATGCCCCCCCAAACCTGCTCGGAAGCCTCCAGGCCATTCTAGCGCCCAGCGACTCAGACGGCCTTGAGGCGCAGATTGTTTTTGTATCATTACTAGGCTTATTGCTCTTATGAATATTATAACAAAAGTTATGGTATTGCTCTTATGAATATTATAACTCTTATCATCATTATTAGAGACATTGTTCGAGTGTTTCCAGGGCCTCAGGGCCCCTTTCCTCTCAGAGGGGCTCTGAGGTGTCCATGTTCCCAGCCCCCTTAGGGGCCGAAACCCAGCCCTCGGCCCTCTGGAGCCCACAAGTTCAAGGTTCCTACGCCTTTTGTGGCTTTTTGACATCTGAGGGCTTTCTGTGGTGCAACGGTCATGTGTCTGGTTTTCGGGGTTACAAGGGCTAAGGGTTCAAAGCCCCCAACCGTCCAAGCCCTTTTAAGGGACCTCCGCCATCCAGGCGGTCTACTACAACTTCTGCGGGGCAGGCCATTCCGACATGGATGGGATCCCGGGCCATGATCAGCGAGAGCTTTTCGTCGCCTTCTTGTTGGTGCAAGCTTGTGCCGGGGGTGGGTGGACGAAGGTCCCCAAATCAGATGACCCGTGTTCACTATTGCCACAAACCCTATTTCTAGGCACTCAAGCCTATGGCCTACGCAACTACCAAAAAGGAAAGACGCCTCAAAACCCTGCAGCGACGCAACGCCGCACACAACGCCGCAACCAAGGAAGAGCTTCAAGAAGCTCTGCCAGGACCAGCTGAAGAAGTGGATCGCTGCTTCATCGGGTAAGGTTTTCGGGCTGATCAGTGCTAGGCATCTTGGGGGTTCAACCTGAGTTGTTTGGTTCTGGAGTGCTGCCGAAGAGTCACGGACAGAGGACTGCGAGCTGATGGACAAGCGCCTGGATGCGACGCACGTCGACCTCATCTTCGCCGACAATCGGGCACCCTTGCCTGAAGAAAATCTCAAGACAACCCCCCCCCTAACCCCCCCCCCCCTAAACCCCCCCCCTAACCCCCCCCCCCCCCCCTAACCCCCCCCCCCCCCCCCCCCCCCCCCCTCGCCTGAACCTTACGCCCCTCTCCAAACCCAATGGGTAGAGGCTTTGCCTCAACTCTGGCCCCCCACCCCCCAAAAAACAAAACTAAACAAACGACACGTAATAGCTCGCATTCTAGGACCCCCCCTCCACACGCACAAGAAGAAGCTTTGGAAGCCAGAGACGAGGTGAAGCCCCGCGGGCAGAATCGCATTGACTTCCTTCAGTTTGAGTCGGCCCTGGAGCTGCTGGCGGAGAAGCGTCTTGCTCTGACTTCAGGGTTTGGGGCTCAGGGCTTGAGGGGTTTAGGGGTTTCGGCCTGTGGGTCTCAGGGCTTCTGGGGCCTTGGGTCTCTGCAGTTCATGGAGGGGTTTGGGGCTGTGGGCTTTCGGCCTCTTTTTGGCGTGTTTGGGCTTTTGCGGGACCTTGCGAAGACCTGAAAGAAGCCGAGGAAGGGCGTGGCCAAGGCGGAGATTCGGAAGGACGAGCTGGGGATTACCGGGGCCCCTGGATGGCGTAGAGCTCCCAGAGCTGGAGCTGCTGTATTTGGGCCCACAAATCCACTTCAGCCCCTGTGCTTGGGGAAAAAAACAGCGAAAAACGTGACAGAACCTGTAAACTGCACACCTCCTCCCATCTCCGATCCGCCCACCCAAAAAGCTTGAGAAGAGGACATGGTGCTGCAGGGCGGGCCGAAGGTGACGAAGAGCGTTTCGGCGCCCGTGATCCCGACCAACCGACGGCCCAAGGAGTGTTTTGCTCCTGACCCTTTCAGGGTTTAGGGTTGAGGGTTTAGGGGTCAGGGTTTAGGGAAGAGGGTTTAGGGTTCAGGGTGTGGGGCTTAGGGTTTAGGGTTTGCCCCCTTTTGACCAGGTACCCCAGAGACCCCATGAAAGACCCTGAAGCTATCCACGAGTTCTCTTTCTTCGGTTCTCGGCATGGGCCCGTCATAGAAAAACACTCATGGGGACTGGCTTACACCCCAAGCCCTAAACCCGAGACTCGAAGTAAGCTCGAATCCCTATAGGCCCTAGACCCCAAAGTCCGAATCGCGTCGCAGTCTTGGGGTTTGAAGGTGGTGGCAACTCTTTGTAGACAGCTGAACAGAAATCCCCCCCCCCCCAAAAAAAAAAAAGAAACAGAAACAAACTCGACACTAAAGGTTTCGGCTGCAGGAGAACCTCCGGAACATCAGCCAGAAGCGGATCGCATCCATCTTGAAGCGCCCCGCCAACGAACCCAAGGGCCAGGAGACCTGGCGCAAGGACTGGCTGCTCTGATCTTTTTGGGGGTGTGGGGGGGGTGACTGGGGGGATTGGGCTGCAAGGCATGGTGTTGCGGGTGGGGTGGTTTCTCACAGTCAACCTCAACCCCGAAACCCTTGGAGTCCTGATGTTCAGACGCTTTTCCATCGACTTGTGCTGGCCCGAAAACAGACCGGGTTGCAGCGAGCACATGCGACCTGAATGCAGCACTTGTAGAGAAACCCGCGCAAAATCTCATCCGTGGCAGCCCGAAGCCCCAAAGCCCTGTCCCTCAATCTCGGGAGAGGAAGTCAACAACCGGGAGCTCTGGAAGGCGCCCTTGTGCACTCCTTGGGGCGAGGGAGAAGCCAGAACATCCTCAGGGCCCCACCGAGCGCCACCCTGAGCACCCTCATCGTTACCGACGCCCAAAATCCGGAAATAAGAGTTGCATCTGAAAAAGCGTTCGCGCTTCGCTTCTTGCCTCTCATACACGGTTTCCTTGCTTGAGTTTGCTTCGAGGCTCAGCTGGTTGCGTTTAGGCAGCTTTTGGCTAGGCCCGGCTAGGCACCAAAGTCCAGCACTTCCGCCAACTCGCCATGACGGAGGCAGCAGGAGTGATCCGGGACTAGTCGGGATACATCAGCACCAGCGCCAAGAAGGATTATGGTCCGCTCGAGTTCACGGGCCGTTTCGCAGGTGGCCTGAGGGCAGACTTGAAGCGACGCGCGGCATTTTATTTCAGCGACTGGACTGATGCCTTCACGCCGGACAATGCGCAAAAGTCTGTCTCGACGATTTTGTCCCTCTCTGGAGAGGAGCCGCTGCGAGGAGCAGTGGCGGGAATTGACCTGGTATAAATTACTCCGGACGGTGGTACCTACATCGTAGAGCGGGTGTTATGGTGGCCTGCTCATTAGGGAGCTCGACAGGCCACTACTTGTTGTGGCTAGGTGAGGGCTTTTTGGAGCTTCGGGAGTACCTTGAGGGATTTGGCTGTGCCTTCTTCTTGCCACGCTGCAAACCCGAAGCCCAGAATCTCGAAAGACGCGAAGGCACATGAACACGAGCGAAGACGAGCAACGCTCGGCGCTAATAAGCGGCGCTCGGCGCTAAGCGGCGCTCGGCGTCGCTCGGCGTCGCTCGGCGTCGCTCGGCGTCGCTCGGCGTCGCTCGGCGTCGCTCGGCGTCGCTCGGCGTCGCTCGGCGTCGCTCGGCACCACTCAGTACTCGCCAAACCTCGAACCCGAGCCCCGACGCCCCAAAACGCGACCATTGGCCCTCTTGTCCCCCGGAAGAGGTCTTCGGCCTGGACAACGCAGCCGGCCGGACGCTGAAGCGCATCTACAGTGGCACCGAGGCCCGGGCGGCCTCGGGGGCTTCGGGTTCATAGGGTTTAGGGGGGTTCAGGATTCGGGCCAGCGTATGGCACCTCGGACAAGGGAGACGGATCTGGATTTCTGGATTTTTTTGTCCCCCCCACCCCCAAGTCACCCTAAACCCTTAACCCCGTAACCACACACCAAGGTGGGCCTGGTCTCCCCGGAGTCCCCCAGCACACGCTCCCTCCGCCGAACGCCCACCGCAGAGCTGCTGGCCGGGGGGCGGAGAACTTCTGACAATTTGCAGGGTTTGTGGAGTTTCCGGTTACGGGTTTAGGGTTTAGGGTTAGGGTTTCGGGCTTGGGTTTGATGTTTTTCTTTGGGGAGGGACAGAGGTTTGTTTTGTTGGGGGGGTTTTGGCGGGATGGTGTGGGGCTGTGGCGAAGTCTGGGCTTGTGCTTGATGGTGCTTGTGTGGCGATGGACAGTTCAAGAACCAAGAATGTCAGGTATACCTTAAAAGCAACCTTTCCTGTAAACCTTGAACTGAGCAATCTTACACCTGTCCCTGAAGCAGCGTGACAGGCGTGCGTAGACATGCGCGTTCGTGAGCCCCCTGAACCCTGTCTCCCAAACGCCCTTTTCCCACCATCTGACTGTTGCAACTGGATACTATTTTTCAGACATGTCTTTAAAATAGTATCCAGTCGCAAGAATGCAAAGCCTTTCACCTTCAGGTGGTGAAAGCCAAGTCCGACGGCCTGGTACTGGGCCCCAAGGCTCACATGAAACAGCCTTGAGAGGTCGCGAGGACGTAGAATGGAGCGCAGTACACAAGGGTAAACAAGGGATGACTGTGTGTGCGTCGGCAAGGAAGTTGTCCATCACGTGTCAGGGTTGCACAGGCTTGCGGAAGAATTGGGGTAGTCATGCACGAGCGAACCTGCAGAGTACAGGCGAGAAGTTTGGGAGCTTGGAGCTGCTTGGGAGGCTCTATGAATAGGGCAACTGGTCCCTGCCAAGCAAACGAACGAGCCCTAAACCCCAAGCCCTATAAGCCCCTAAAGACCCCAAACCCTAAAAGCCCGGAATGAAACCCGCAGCCCGAAGCCGAAGAGGGCGCCTTCAGCCTCGAGGGCTACCGGCTGCCAACGCCGGTGTCTACGCTTTAGGCTTCGTGAAAAGGGGGGTTTACGAAAATAGGGGATGCCGAATATAGTCCCCCAAGTAATCCGCAAGGTTTAAAGACCAAGAACGCACCCCTCGTTTTCGGAAGCCCCCAAAGGCCCTTTCTTTCGGGCTTCCGAGGGTTCGGAGGGTTCAGGGTTTAGGGCTTGGATAATTTGTTGCACAGGGTTTTAGGCGAGGGGCCGAGTGCTTCTCATGAATTTCCGTGTGGCGTTTCACTGTCTCACCTCTCAGGGGCGGGAGCTCTGCAAGCAGAGCGCCCAGAGCCCTTACAGCTCCCCGGAGTCCCTCAACCCTCAACCCTCAACCCTCAACCCTCAACCCTCAACCCTCAACCCTCAACCCTCAACCCTCAACCCTCAACCCTCAACCCTAAACCCTAAACCCTAAACCCTAAACCCTAAACCCTAAAACCTACACCCTGAACCCTGAACCCTGAACCCTAAACCCTAAACCCTAAACCCTAAACCCTCAACAACATGCTCCTTTAAAAACGCCACCCCCTCGACTCCGGTGGGTTCCCGGGCCGCGCCGCCCGCGATAATGTTAGCTGGGTAGTCTTAGGGGGCTCGTGTAGGGCTGCGAAGCATCAGGGCACGCAATGGAGGATGTCCAGCGAAACCCGAAAGGTCTCGGCAGAACCCAACCCAACGTCGAGGAGGGCGCTTTAGGCTTCGGAGTCTTGGGAGGAGTCCGGGTTGATTCTGATGAGTGTCGGGCTTCTTTTCGTTCGGACTGTCTATTGTCAGACCCTTTCGGGCCCCCATTTCCTTTTTTGGAGTCTTCAATCAAGGTTTGGGGTAACTTTGGGTTAACCCTAAACCCTGAACCCTGAACCCTCAACCCTAAACCCTAAACCCTAGGTTGGCACCTTGGGGGGTTTTGGTGTATTGCGAGGCCGGCAGGTGGTACGCCGGTGCTGCGGCTTTAGAAAACTTGGGGGGCTGCCCGGACGCCCTGTAGGCTCTGAGCTTCCCGCAGCTTAGGGTTTAGGGCTTAGGGTCTTTTAGGGTTTAGGGTTTAGGGTTTAGGGTTTAGGGTTTAGGGTTGCTCCAGTTTAGGGCCCTGTCGCTCGCAGCCCAAGATTAGCAAGGTTGCCGCAAGTGACTTCAACTTGCCGTCATGTGCATGTTGATCAGCACGGCACCGCGAAGGAAATGAGCAGTCTCCGGCGTCTTTTTCTTTTTTTTTATTTTTTTGTGTGTGTGTGTGTGTGTTTTTCTTTTTTAAGGGGAGGGGCGGGGTAGAGTTGAGGGCTTCACCGTGCTTTCTGGGTGGCCTAGGGTTGAGAGCTTGTTGCAGTTCTGAGGCAGAGTCGGAGATTCAACTTTCCATGGCATTAAGTCCTGCAAACCCCAGAAGACCCCAAGAAGTAACCAGGGCTTCGGGCTCTGAAAGCTTTGAAAGCTGACGGTGGTGTGCATACGGCATATGGAGCATATCCGGCTTTTGCAGAACTTCTGTCATACCTCTTTCCCAACAAAAGTTTGGGGTTTCCTTTCCACCAGAGCTGTGCCGAAACGTTTGAGAGGTCTAGCATATTTCCTGTACCCGTAAAGCGAATGATCCCTGGCCATGCCGATCTCCTCGCTGGGCTCCCTCACTCCCCGGGTGTCGGGGAGCGCCTGGGTCGCACCAGGCGCGCAGGTGGTGGGAGATGTGCGGCTGGGTCAGGATGTGGGCGTGTGGTTCAACTGCGTGCTCCGAGGGGATGACTCGCACATCGAGGTGGGGTGTCCCAAGATCTTGGCTCCAAGGTTTAGGGTTTAGGGTTCAGGGTTAGTAGTGGGTAGCGTCTGTTAGCACGCTGAGGTCGGGGATGGGACCAACATCCAGGATTTGACCATGGTGCACTTGGATGAGGGCCTCCCTTGCATCATCGGTCGGAAGGTGTCTGTCGGGCATGCCTGCGTGCTGCACGGCTGCACGGTGGAGGACGAGGTCCTGGTGGGCATGGGCGCGATCATCTTGAACAAGGCATCTTCATCTTGCGTCTCAGCATCCCCTGAACCTGCAAACCCTAAACCCTAAACCATCCTAAACCCTAAATCATCCAAGGGTTTCGGCCCTCTCCAGAGGAGTGTTTGTTGAAAACAAAAGGCGGTCATCGGTCGCGGAAGCGTGGTCGGAGCTGGGGCACTGGTCTTGGAAGGCATGAAGGTGCCGCCCTTTTCCCTGGTGGTGGGCTCACCGGCTCAGGCGGGCAGTGCAATCTGCTTGTGTTTGGGTGGAGGGAATGGTTTTTTGAAGGCTCGTTACGGGATAGTAGTGACGACGCACTCGACAGTGCAAGCGAAAGACCATGCTGTGCCGTCACGCGAGGAGGATTTGTCTGTGTATCGGAACTGCGTTCACGAAACGGCGATGTCCTGCGCGGATGATGCCGATGGCAGCGCAGGGCTTCCCACGCATGCATAACGCGTTCTCGAGATACACGTTGCCGTCCTCGCAAGCTGTCCGGCGTTTTTCAGGTGGCCAGTGTACACGTGTCGGGCGCCACGTTGCTTGGTGGGCATGAAGAGGATGTGACGGTCCACGCGTGAGCGACATTCCTGTACCTAGTTCCTCCACACCCTCCTGAGCAGCTTGTGCGTTTTGTGGCCCGTGTTGCCTTGTGACATCGGCACGGCCTCTGTAGCATCTGCCCCGCGCGCTGGTACGTGTTTGTTGCATTCGCAGGCAAGGGTAAAACCTTGAGAAACGCGGTCGACCCATTTCCTGGAGCATTCGAATAGCTTAATTGTAAACGCTTGCCGCCTCGGAGCCGGGCCGGCCGGTGGGGGGGGGCGGCTGGGGGGGGGGGGGGGGTTTTTCGCGTTTTTGCGGCGATCCCTCTGTGGGTCCCGCCCGACAGGCAGAACCCTCCACGGCATCGGTTTGCAGCTCCTCCAAGCGATGAGGGTCCCACAGAGCGGAGGGGTTCGAAGGAGGCCCGATCAGACCTTCCTGTTCAAACTGCGCGAGGTCGAGCAGCCCTCGCAAAATGCCGGGTTATTCTTTTTCCAGCGACCCCGAACCGGCCACACAGGGCCGTTGCACTTGGCTTTGCGTGGCCGCAGGGGTGCAGAAACTCGTGATTGTACGTCCCTTTGTTGCATGTGGCATATATGCAGCTGCGGGCAGACTTCCTCCGAAGCTGCGTCAGCCTGGGCCCGTCACCCGTTGTGCGGCGAGCCCTGGCGGGCGCCGGACCTGAGGCCGAACGCGCGTTCATTGCGATCGGCACCCCAATCGGGCACCCACGGTATGCTGCCGCACACACCGACACGCGTCTCGAGGAGGCGCGGCTACTGCAGGAGCTACCCCTGCTACCCCTGGCTCCTCCTCGCCATGTGCATGTGCGCCTCGCCGCGCTGACCACATCTGCACAACCTCCTGCCAAACCTCTCTGCCATTTATTCGCGTGGCCATGGGGAGTCTGGCGGCGAGCGTACTGCTCCTGCGGCTTGTTGGGCAGCCCTGGGCTGTGCTCGCTGCATCCGCCGCCTGGCGCGGGCACGCGGACGAGCGCGAGCGCCGTGGGTTGCAGCCGCGGCCGGGCGGGCGCTCACCCGGCGGTGGCATTGCCTCGCGTCATTGGCGGTGCTGCGCGCGCACGCGCAAACGCTGCTCGAGCTGCCGGTGCAGTCGTGCGACGCGGGGGATGACCAGGAGCTGCTGCTGGGGGAGTTGCTCGCTGAGCGCCCGCATGTGTCAATTGTACGATCCCACCATGTCTGGGTCCACGTTTTGCAGCTTCCTCGTGCAGGGCAAGCTTCGCATACCCCTGTTTATTTCCGCTGGACAGGGACACTGGCAATTGTAGGAAAACGTACGTACTGGCTTGGGCGGCCAATTTGCTGTTTCAGCAATATCAGGTTGCAAAACTGCGGAGTCGATCATCCCACTTCGTTAGCGGGCGAAGCAAAAATTTGCTTGCCCGTTACTATCTGGACACCATTTGTTCACGCAATAATACGTTTATAAACTAGTGCATGAAACGTATTATATTGCGTGACGAAAAGAAGAGAGAAAAGGGCCTATTAAAATAATATTAAATTTAAGCGTGCATTCTTTACCTTAAATTTAATACTATTTTAATGAGGCACTAAGTGAATAAGTGAGTTTACGAGCGCATTCACGAAGACCACACCCTGAGACCCATCCCAACCTTACAGACTCAGAAATCTACCCTAGAAACCGTACCATTCATCTCTCTCACTCTTGTTCCACAGCCTTGTTCACCCATCCCCCGTTCCCCTTTCCTCGGGCACTTATTCACTTAGTACACTATAATATTATTATTGCAAGTTTACGCGCGAATAATAATATTGTAGTGCACGCGTGAATAAAGTGAGCAAAAGACCCCCAAATATTATAGTTAAAGGGGCACATAATACGTTAATACGCTTATTGCCCCTTTAATATAATATTTAGGTCTTTTGGGGTACTCTGGGGCTGGAACTTCCTTTGGGACCCTAACCTCTATCTCTAGCTCCTGTTAACCCACAGAATCCGTCTATGAGTCCAGGGTCTTATGAACCAGCCCTAGAAACCGTACCATCATGAAGGGGTCTTTGTGGTTGATCTGGGGCTGACCGACAAATAGGATCTCTCGGGACACTAACTCTCTATCACCAGGATACACCTTACTAACCGGCTTAGAGACCAGTCCAACCGCAGCACCCATCACACCTTGAGACCCTGTTAACGCCTGGTCTGGATAAGCCTTAGAGTTAGTACTAACCACTTCACCTTTATTAGTATTATAACGCGGGCTTTCTGTATTCGCGCGATAAACGCAGTGCATGCGTGCGCCCCGTTAAAAGCCCGCGATAATAGAAAGAGTGTAGAGAACATTATTAATGCGGTTATAAGTGAAGTGAATGAAATGAATGTAACGCATGAACCGCATTAATAAAGTGAACGAAACGTGAAGAGAACAATGTGAACAAGTGAACGAAAACATGGAGTGAACGCGTGAACATGTGAACGAAACCACGAAGAGAATGTAATGAGCGCAGTAATAATATAATTGCAAGGTAACGCGCGAATTATATTATTAATGCGTGAATGAAGAGAACGAAGTCATGAACGCACAATTAACACGCCCGAAACAAAAGAATTATATGGGCGTGAGAATATTAATAGTGTGCGTTCGTTTGTGCGGCTTTTTCTTTTCTTTTCTTATTGCCGCACGCATGATATTAATACGAAGAGAATAAGTGAATTAGAGAACGAAGTGAACGTAATGAACGCATGAACGAAGTACAGTAACAACAATATGATTAAGGGCTCCAAGTTCCAGGATGATACGGTTGTTGTGGGGCGTTCACTTCGTTCACTTGAAATGCAAATTAACGAAGGAGTGAAGGGAGTGAGTGATCAATTGAACGAAGTAAGAACGAAACCAACCGCCGAAGCAGCCGAAGTACTAACCGGGTGAGTGCGTACGTCCCTGTCATCTGTTGCCCGTGGATGGACCTTTAGGACGCAGTATTAAGGGGTTCTCTGCGTCATGAGCCCGTGATCCTGTCCAACATTCACCTCTTTAAACGTACTATCCTGGGTGGTGCAGCAGTTTCCTGTCTTTTGGTTCTCACCGCCGGGCACATGACCACACAAATCGCCCATCCAACCTCGACCAATCGTTCACGCGTTCTCTTCACATTATTATTGAATTGTAATGAAAGCACGAATTCAATAATAAGGTGAGAACGGAACGAATACAGGATTTAATAGTATTATGGTGTGAACAGAGTGAACACGCGCATATAATTCACTTCTTTCCATTGCATTCTTTTCCTTCACTCCTTTAATACCGTGAAGCGAATGCAATTACAAGTAAACGAAGTGAATAAATGAACGAGTTTGCGCGTGAATTGCATGAACGAAACAAAACCAGCTATTTACTTTCATAATCTTGTTTGCGCTTGTAATTTAATTGTTTTGACAACAGCCGCGGCCCAATTGGGAATTCGCAACGTTTGGAAAGCGAAGTTGTACTGACGTCGTGCAAGCTGGCGAGACCAGGTGTCCATAGGTTGTCTGTGTAACGCTGCAGTCAATCTGTGTTTCATCCGGCTCATAGAGCAAGCTGCATGCAAAACGTTTTTTGCCAAGCGATGGCGTCTGTGTGGTCGCCTGCGCCATACTGCATGACAGTTGCGTGTTTTGCGGCTGCGGACCGACCCGTGTATAAACGTGTATAAATCGGACTTGCGCAAATTCGACGTTGCTCAGCGGCGGATGCTGCATGCTGTCGTTGGCGCAGCAAGTGGCACAGACTGGTCCGCAGAATGGCATGAGCTGACACTGCGGCGTTTCAGGGCAGATGCAAGCATGCAACGTCTCGACATGGTCTGGCCGATGGTTACGCTCTTACTGGCCAGTTGCGCTGCTTTGTACGAATTGGTCTCGTCACACGGGGCGACCCAGGTACCAGTGGAATTCCATGCTGCAAACCTTGTCGCTGGAAACCGTTTCTGTAGTAGTTAATGCTAGATGTGCTGCCGATGGGCTTTGCGGTGACTACTCCTGCTCCAGGAAGGGTGCCCATGCCATCCAGTGGCGTCGAGCGCGCGGCCCGCTTCCTCGGCAGCTCGCAGGGGCCGGCAGCAACAAGGCCAGGTCGTCGGGGCTGAATCGTCCTCCGGCTTCCATGCCGAAGACGACCAACCGACAACGCCCTTGCCCGCCAGCCCGCAGCTCCGGATACGTGCGATGTTTGCGCGCCTTGGCGTGGCGATGCGCGCAACCGGGCTCAGCTTCGGCTCCTGGACGGGGCTCTCCGCACCTTTGCAGTGGGCTGACGAGCGTCGTGTCGACCGAGGGCAGGCCGTTGGCCACCACCTCGATGCGGCGGCCGTCTGTGGCAGGGACGTCGGCGGTCAGATCGCGGAGGGCGACGCTGGCCGCCGCCCTGCTCCGGCCTCTCTGCACATGCGCGCTGCTGCCCGCCCGAGAGGGCCCGGTGTGCGAGGACCCCGACGAGCTGTGCGGTGATCCCCGAGGGTATCGAGGGCCCGGCCGCAGAGACAACGCCTGGGCACGAAGGGGAGTGGCAATCGCAGGCGTCGGAGCAGCATGACGCGGTACTCCGCATCTGGCACGACGAGGTCGGCACTGGTGCGGAGCGCTGTCAGGGCGCAGCTGGCGCCTCCCCCCCTGCGACCGCAGCAGCGCACGAGACGCTGTTTTTTTTCTCGCACCTTTTTCCG